ATCATACCATGTAAATACCATGTAAATACTTTTTTCTCAGTCCTCGTGTTGAGCTGAATTAAAGTGAAGTCGGATATCTGTCATTAGGCAGAATGGGTGTGAAGTGAGCAATAGAAAATAAGTTCCTCATCGTTGCCTGATCTACCAGCAGATCTACCATTGATATCTGGGTATCAAAGCAAATAGTAAATAAATTGATTAGTTATATCATCATTATATTTGCTTGTAACTTATTTATTAATTCATCTCTTGAAACATTAAATACGGATTCACATCTTCCTTTCCCTCATTCATCCTTTGATTCAGCTTTCTTGTTTCATTAATCTCATTAGTCTCGTTAATTCCATCACTCTCATCACTCTCATCACCCTCATCACCAACCAACCGTATTGAACCGAATTCGACCAGTACCAGGAACACAGCCGTAACCATACTATGGCGGCGAAGCAACTTCCAGCGGTCCTTCGCATTACATCCAGCGCTACGAATCAAGATGAAGTTTTTCTTCTCCACGTCGAATCCGCTGGGTCGCGACCTTTAGATCTAAAGTTAGTTGGGACGGATGGTGAACTCGTATTTGCGGTCTCAAGTAAGCTCCAACCTTTGTTTGGATCGTCCCGCGCTGGAGGTCCCTGATTTTCAACCCTGATTTTCAAATTCATGCGTTAATTGCGGGACCTCAAATTAATATTAATTTTCATTCTAGTAAAGCACAGCAAACTATCTTCACTCAAGTCGAGGAGTTCTCCCTGTAGCGACGAAGAATGGATTCTGATTTTGTCATCCACTCTGCTTCATGAGCCGCCGAAGGGAGGGAATGAGAATGTGACCAGAGGAGTTGAGGTTCATGCTAAAGTGGAGAAGAAAGCCGTGACGCTCGTGATCCAAAAAGTTATCGAAGGGATCAAAGTACGTACCCTCCCAGTCATTACGTTGGCAATCTTATCATATTACATACTAACTATACATCAGCAACGTCTCGGCGCAATCAAACTGGACGAAACTGAAGAAGAAGAAATTGGTCTTTTTGAATGGTGCGCTCTGGCAACAAAATCGGCAGGTTCGGCAAAGGATGAGTTGGAAGCATTAAACCCTAAGTACAGGGAACAACAGAAAATGCTGAATGGACTCAATGAAACTTTTAGGGAAGTAAACAAAACAAAATCCGACTATGAGATTCAGCTGTTGGAGAAGTTTAGCCTCTTGCAGAATGAGAAGAAGCTCAAAATAAGGGACCAACAAACCTTATTAGCAAGCGCCAAAATTGATCCAGAAAAAGTCGATACATTGCGAGCTACAAGATCTGGAAAGCTCAGAACCGCCGGCGCATCGAGAACTGGGAAGCGTAAAGCCGGGAAGGAAGCGCAGGCTGAAAGCTCAGATTCGGATGATGCTTTTGAAAAAATGGATGTTGACAAAAAGCAACAGGAGGATGATACTGCCGACGAATCAGACCAACAAGAAATACAAACTCCTGACCACTCGGATGAGAAGACTGAAGATGAGGCAAATGCTCCACAGTCAAAACCTCAAAGTCGCAAAGGAAAAAATATTGTTCAAGATGATTCGGATGAGGAAATGCAAGTAGCGCCTAAATCAACAGAGACAACCAAAATCGCCGAGCTACCAGCTAAAAGAGAACTACCATTTGCCAAAAAGCCAGTTCCGGTACCTGCAGATGATGGATCTGAGACCGAATCGGGCTCGGACGATGAACTATGATAGACATTCTCATTCCAATAAGAATTATCCTTCAATGAATAACGGGTCAAATCAATGAATGTCCCAAACTGTCTCATCGACATTACACCATATACCAATGTGATTGGACGTCGCCAATAATATGACTCTTCCCAAGCGCAACGATATGCAAATCATAATCACGATTCCAAATCTCAATTCCCATTCACACACTCCATCCACTTGCACCAACTCGCCAATCCCAAAGCTAAAGCTCCACAGTGACTCGTGCGTATCCCTGACAACCACCATCGCGAGCGGGATTTACAGAGTTGACGATATAACGGTGGGGGAAATTGTGCATGTCGCATGCACAGGTGGGGTGAAAAATATGCACCACGAGAGTGTGGATATCACACCGACATTTCTACATGCTGCGAAGAGGGGCGTTACCGGGTGATGATTATGTCGCATCGTGTGGCGGGGAATATATAAGGGACCTGGATCTCTTGTCAGGAATGGGTATTGTGTGAACAATGATTGAGAGAAAGGCTGGCGAGTGTTGGTGGTGGTCAGTATATGGTGTGTGCGGAGATGTGGCTGGAAGCTTTGGGGGCCGCGAAAAAATGTGAAGGGGGGAATAAATAATCTTTCCAGCCTTCTTTTGTTTCTGTGGTAATGATATCTTGCATCAGATATAACATTGAGTCCAGCCTCCGTCAAGTGATGGGGTTTGTTCGTGGTCGTGGAGTCTTGACTGCACTATACTATCAATCACACGAAGAAAATCTAAATTTTCACATCTGATCACTATTAATTCTCATCGAATAGAAAATTCGTATGCGATAACTAGCTTGATTTCGATTATTATTCTTTTGCATACACTCTCAAATTCTCCTCTTCAGTATATATGCCTAGGTACTCATGATATGATATCCATTGGAATTTCTCCTCGCTCGAGGGTTGGAATTTTCCATTGATACAATCCTAGATACCAAACCTTCTCTAAATCCTCGCAATGAGCATCCAATCGTCCGGTCTTCAAAATCTTCCATTCGATATACTCTCATATTAGTGCATTCTTGAAGACAGTGTCAAACTACCAAGATTCCCACCCCCATAGCTACTACTACATACATAGTCTCTACCCTCCACTTCCACCCTATCAGCACCACATTATATAAGTCCTCTCCATCTACATTCACACTCCTCAAACCAAAAGACAACAAGAGACTGAATCAAGGTGCCCACGCCCCTAAAAACTCCCTCTCCCTTTCGATCTTCAAATAAACACTCAAAAAGCACACCCACACCACATCATATCACACATGAACTATATAAACATCAAACTAATCATCGCAATCACATACGACCATAGACTGAGGAGAATTGGGCATCCCGTCCGCTCTGCCATACACAAGCCTCAGATCGGTAGATTAGTAGTTGGGTGGGTGACCACCAGCGAATCCCTACTGTTGTATGTCCACTCTTATTTTTTCGGTAATTTTGCTGTTGGTTTCAACTGCGTGCCTGAGAATACAGATAGATGGATGAGTGTAGATTTTGATTTTGACAAGTTTGGGAGAGAGGGAGAGGGGGATGTGTACAGAAATCTTAGGATGCTCCCCTAGAGAATGAGAGGGCAGTTAGAAGATTGGGTATTATATAGAGAAGGATGTTTTTGGCTGATACAATGGGAAATCGAATATATTATTAGGACCGTTGATTAACAAGTAGCTTAATATGTCGAGCGTAGGTAGCTGATGCACCTTTGTAGGACTCTGGAGAATGCGGAAACAGAAATAGAGATGACGGTAAAATACGTCTTTAATTTTCTTACAGAGATGTCATGTCAAATACTGAGGCATGCAAACACGGATTAGCAGGTATATAGATAATGCGTGTGTATAGCTAAGATCAATCCAATCGCAGACATCCCGTGGATATCGAGATGATTCAAACGAGAGAAACTGATCTTATAACTAGAGAAACGGAACCGTCTGAGATATTCAAGCTATCCTGAGCCTTTGTGAATCTTCGTGATCTACCTAGGTATTTCCTATCTTCTATTTATATAACAAACTCGAGGCCGGAAGCAATACAATAAATACATGTATTGTGTATTATGACGTCAAAGAAAATTTTGTCACGGAGGATCATCAAGAAAGATGATTTCAAGGTGTTTTTTACAGTGCTGATAAGTCACTTCGGTGTTAGTGATTTTCCGTAGGGAGAAAATTGACTGGACAAGCAGAGATTTGGGATTTCGGATTAGGAGTCCTCAACAGCAGAATCCGAATTCGAATCTGTGAGGATTGTGAACTCGAGTATATGCGGAGGTCAGCGAGAGAAAATTCATGGAGATCTTGAGATTTTCGAAAGCTATGGGCCATGTTATGGGGTACCTTGTTAATGGTCCAGGTGTAAATTGTCTAGGGAAAAACATGCGCATGTTGAGGTTGTGAATTTGGTGAATGTGAAGGGATTAGAGAAATCGAGTTATGAAATCTTGAAAGCGGGTGAAGGGTCTGAGATGTATACTTCAAAGTTGTTTTGTTAGATCTGTACTGTCACAAGAAGAGGGAGGAAGATGGCGGAAGAAAATGATGCGCTAAGATATTGTCAATATATTGATCCCATGAAATCTCATTCGCGGAGATCGGTTGTCTGACTAGTCTAAGTGTTCAATCGTCCCATAGCCAACCTTTCATGAATCTTCCCGAAAGTCCAATGCATGAGTCTCCTGTCATTATCAATTTTTGAGCACCTGTCCCCCCCCCCACCCCCCTCCAAGCCCCCCTCCAAACTCCCTAAAAGCAGCCGGAGAGTTGAAAACATTGAAACGAAAGCGGGATCTTATTGAGAAGATTATGATTTTTGAGCAGGCGATGTTCATTGCTTTATCTCTTGACTTACAGGCATATCTAGGTGGTTGATGGTCAAGTATAGAGGCTGCCGGTACGGATGAAAAGGAAAGAGACAGGCCACCACTTCTTAGAATATCTACGAGAGTAATTTTCGAAAGGATGCTTGCGAACACCCTTTGCATGGAACGGGTAGCTTGAAGTGTAATTTCGACCTAGAATCCAGATCGGAATGCGACCATCAAATAATTTCCTCTCGCCACAGTACCATACCCAATCAAAGACAGCTCAGAGGAAGGTAGTCAAATCCGATGAAAACGTCATGGGTTCAACAAAAAGAAGAATGATAGGGAATCATGTCGCACAAACACATCCTACCAGCAACTCTGTCCACATTTCTTTGGTCTAACACTGGGCCAAATGCCATGTCAGTCTAACATGATAATCGGATCAAGTTCAATGCTCTGTATCAATAGCATCCGCATACCCTGTCGTAGCCTCAACGAAGGGACCCATGGTTATCATGGGTGCCCTACGAATTGTGTCCTTTATCCTCTCCATAATCATGAAGAGAGAATTGACTGTCTCCTCATTCAAGTATAGCCATTCTTCTTTCATTCGCTTCATGGTTGTAGTACGATCAGTTGAAAATTCCCTCGGAAAAGAATTACTATAAGCAGTACACTCGAATCTGGTTGTTTCTATGGGCTGCCACGATCCAGGTATGATTTCGCCAGCAGTGTGAAACTTGCTTTCTAAAACGAGATACAAGGCCAAGCGAATGAAGCTCCACGCGAGCCAAAAGGATCCTCCGTCGCAATTTGGACCTATCAAAGACAGAAAAATTTGTTGGGTGTCTTGTCCTGAGAGAACCAATGGCAGAATGAGTTCAATCAATGGCACAAAAGATTTGTTCTTGAGATGGTGTAGTCCAAAATGCTCTAGTAAAGGATTATCTGCTTGAATACTGTGGGGGGCGTATAAACTACTTAGTGAACATGGCCGGCTGATGATATCTCCCCGTATGTTTATAGATTTATTTGCGAAAACTGCGTTTGCTAATCTGTCTGCTTCTTCATTGTCTTCTCTCGGAACCTTCCAAAAACGAACTTCGATATTGCGATTCTTGAGGATCTGAATCATCTTATCAATGTTCTGAACCAATTCTTTGTTAGCGATGGGACCATTAGAGCCTTCGAAGTCGTTTTTACGCCACTTCCAAATCCATGTGGTGAAAATGTCGTACACATATGATGAATCTGTCATAATGATAGCAGTGAGTCCTGTTTCATGATTTGCTCTCCATTCCTTGAACAAAGAACTATTCTTGATAAGGTGTAGCGCGAAGGAGGCTGCCATGAGCTCTGCATAGTTGTTGGTATGCTTAACCCCATCATTTCTCGATATCTTTTCGTACATATTGAATGGCGAATGTGGTCCGAAGAAAACCCCGAGGGATGAAGTCTTAGCCAATTCGCTCCCATTATGAGGACAAGCTCCATCAACAGCAAGCACCAAACTCTTTTTGTCGCCCGTCATCTCATTAGCATCATGAACATGAGAAATCCCAGTAGAATGATCATAATAAATGAATCTCTTAGTGTTCCTACTAGCCGGTGAAAAGTATTGATGAAGATCAAATTTGCGCGAGAATATCTGCTGCTCTTCAACAGATCTTTCCTTATCCCGTCTAGCCTCTCGAAGGAGATACTTTTCCAACATCTTGAATCCGGGGTGAGGGGATTGCCCACTTGCTTGAAGGTGGTAGTGATGGAAGATGGAGGGTGGATGTCAGTGATATTTTCACATCATGATAACCTTAAAGTAGAAATTTGTTGATATTGTGAATGACTAAGCAATCCAACCTGGCGGGTAGACCCTCTACGAACAAAGAGGCCGGAATAGAGCACCACTCTCTCATCATTCAAATTAGAATCACATACACTTAATGATTGCCAAACGAGAACTTGACTTTAAATTGCTCTAATAATTTTATTAGACCCATGGACTATGGAGGCCACATTTCGTGTAGAAATTAGACTCAAGTGTATGATTTCCGGCCTCTAGTAAAGCAACCCTCCTCCAACACGAAGACAGAAACCCCAACATACTCTTTTAACTGCACTACCACTTCTACATCAAATAGCAAGTCAAGAAACATTCCAGATTTCCCAGAAAACCAAGATTCAACAAACGTCAGATATCACCAACTACAAGCCCCCCAATCCTCGAAAACACATCACATCTCAACACCTAAACGGTCTAAATTAAGGTTAATAAAAACCCCCGAAAGTATAAGGTTAATAGTCGGCTCTTCAAGGGAAGGAAAGCAAGTATTCCCGGCCTGTAAGATCGATGTAATTTAATGGGATGCAAAGTCATTCGATAACTCTTATACTATATGTTGCTAGATTGAGTGTTATATGGAATAGAAATGGATATCTTGATCTAGAGTGATTGCAAAACTATCTCGCCAGAAATAAGATATGGAAATACTTGCTTTCCCGTTAGGAACTACGTGAGGAGTCAGCCGCTTAAAAAGCCGACTATTATTGGAGTATCTGCTTGGATGTGCTGGTATTTCTGTCCTCGGTGTGTCTGTGTTTTGCTTCAAAGATACATGATCACTCATTGCAAGAATGTTCAAGCAGTATAAGTACGTTCATTACTGTGCTCTGACTATTTTACCTAGGCCCTCCTAGCATATTTTCAATATATTACTTGCTCGATACGAGGTGTAACCCAATTAGATGAGGTCATGCATGCTTTTCATTATATTCGCTAACGCTAAAACTAGAAGTTGGTATTGTTGACGACAAAGACCGGCCAAGGGATGAGATGCCGGCGCAAGCACGAAGAAACTGAATGTCGCAAACAAGTTCGCCAATCAAATATGATTGCTGAATCCTGCTCGATCATTCCGTCGATGACACCTTCTATGACCTATCATCCGGCGCAAACTTATCGTTCCAAAATCCTCGATAATGTTTCTTGCTACCGATCTTAGCGATATCCTCGACCTCCTTCGGTGTCAACTTAAACTGTCTAATCTTTTGATATCCCTTCAATCGGTCCTCATTTGCACTAGTAGTCAATGCCACGATTCCCTGATCAATAACCCATCTCAATGCAATTTCACCTGGTGTGACACCATACTTCTTAGCTAGAAGAGAATAGGTATCATCCAAAGGTCCAGGAGAAGCCTTAACAGCAGCGGTCAAGGGAGAGTAGGCTGCTATTGCTATATCCTTTTCGCGAAGGAAAGGAATCAGAGATCCATGTTGAAGATAAGGGTGATATTCGATTTGGTTGATGGAAGGGACAATTTTCGCCGTCTCCAAAATAGTTTCTATATCCTTTTGAAGGAAGTTAGACACTCCAATAGATTTCGCTTTCCCGGATGCATGAATTGCTTCCACTTCTGCCCATTTCTTCTGTAAATCTTGAGGGGTCTTGGCGAAGTATGGAGCGTGAATCAGGTAAAGATCGACATAGTCGAGTTGAAGCTTCTTCAAAGATTCTTCAAATATAGCTTGCGTGTCCACTACTTGGGTACCGGTGATTTTGGTAGTTATGAAGAATTTCTCTCGAGGAACACCGGATTCTTTGATTGCCATACCCATCTCGGTCTCATTCCCATACACTAAGAATAAGTGTTACCAATGACAATCATTTGAATGTATTGAATGATAAGAAATACCTTGAGCTCCATCTAAATGATAATAGCCAGCATGGATGGCCATCACAGCCGTTTTCACAATCTCATTATCGATCTGACCGTCTGCATTGGCTTTGAAACGAGCAGTTCCAAGGCCGTACCCAAGCATTGGAATCTCAGTCCCGTCATTTAACTTGAGGTTTTGTAATTGACTCATTTGCTTTGGAGAATCACCTGAGTTGCCTCCAGCTCCAAAAGAACTTTGATATGCCGAGGTTTCAGAATTCATGATGTAACGAACAGTAATTGCAGAGAAATGGAGTTTGTAAGAACGTTTTATGAGGGGACGTGTGGAAAATCTGAAAGCAGAATTGATGAAGGTATTCATGTATAACGACAATGAAGGAAGAGGGAAATGTAGGTAAGATTACCAAGTACAACCTAGATATTTATTATCAATACTTGAAGAGCGGGGAAGGAGGTAAACCTCCGAGCCTCCTTCCCGCTCCATGCCGATTTTAAACTTCATCAACCCCACCAACCCCACGCACCCTCGCACCACACCTCCCGTAAAACTAAGGACCACTACTTCGTAGACACAAATCAAAGGTATCTACGAGTAGGTATTCCATCGAATCCCCAACCATACTCATTCACGGTATCCATTGAAGATTTCCCAAGATTTATACAATACTTATTAGCATCTGTTTATCTAGAGCATCTAGAGCATCCATAGTATCATTGGTTGATGCTCCTGCATTTCTTCTCAAGTCCTCGAGTACCCCGCCTGCGCATAGCTAAGATGGCATCTCATATCTCTCAAAACAGTACCTCAAAGGCCTCTTCCCTTGCCGGAAATTCCCTCGCATACCTTCCCAAATCATGGACATTTACCTCATCACTGCCTCCCGATCCTCTCTTTCCAACGCCTGCCGCATCACACAAGACCGCTCGCGATGAAATTGGACCTCGGCAGGTAAAGGGCGCATTATTCACTTGGGTTCGACCCGAACATTCGATAAATCCAGAACTTCTCGCTGTAAGTCCTACTGCCATGAGAGATTTGGGAATTAAAGAGGGAGAAGAATCGACGGAAGAATTCAAACAAACGGTTGCGGGCAATAAAGTCTTAGGATGGGATGAAGAGAAATTGGAGGGTGGATATCCATGGGCGCAATGTTATGGTGGGTGGCAATTTGGTTCTTGGGCAGGTCAATTAGGTGATGGACGAGCAATCTCTTTATTCGAGACGACAAATCCAAATAGTAATGTTCGATACGAATTACAATTGAAGGGAGCAGGAATAACGCCATACTCAAGATTTGCAGATGGGAAAGCCGTGTTGAGATCAAGTATTAGGGAGTTTATTGTCTCTGAGGCACTGAACGGATTAAAGATCCCTACTACTCGAGCTCTATCTTTGACTCTCTTGCCATTTTCGAAAGTCAGGAGGGAAACACTTGAACCTGGGGCTATTGTGGCAAGATTCGCCGAATCTTGGTTACGTATTGGAACATTCGATATACTACGAGCGCGTGGCGACAGAGCTTTGATAAGACAGCTTTGCACATATATCGCCGAGAATGTATTTCAAGGGTGGGAATCATTACCAGGAAGAAATTCTGCAGATGATGGAAAGTCAGAAAAAATTGAAAGAGGAGTATCGAAGGACACAATTGAAGGTCCGGCAGGATTAGAAGAAAATCGCTTCACTCGTCTATATCGCGAAATTGTACTACGCAATGCAAAGACAGTTGCAGCATGGCAAGCGTATGCATTTACAAATGGTGTACTCAATACGGACAATACATCTATCTTTGGTTTATCCATTGACTTTGGACCCTTTGCTTTCCTCGACAATTTCGACCCTAGTTATACTCCTAATCACGATGACCATATGCTACGCTACTCCTACCGCAATCAACCCACCATAATCTGGTGGAATCTCGTCCGTCTAGGGGAATCTCTCGGTGAACTTATAGGCGCCGGTGCCAGTGTCGACTCCGAAGAATTCATCGAAAGAGGTGTCCGTCAAGAAGCCGCCGACGAAATCGTCTCCCGCGCAGAAGCTCTCATAACCCGCGTAGGCGAAGAATACAAAGCCACCTTCCTAGCAGAATACAAGCGTCTCATGACCTCCCGTCTCGGACTCAAAACATTCAAAGAACCTGATTTCGAAACCTTATACAGCGAACTCCTCGATACAATGGAAAGCCTAGAGCTAGACTTCAACCAATTCTTTCGTAAACTATCCTCCATCCCCATTTCCTCCCTCGAAACCAGCGCCTCCCGAAAAGAAATCTCCACCACCTTTTTGCACCACGAAGGCGTAACCGGTCTTAACAATACCATGGAATCAGCAACCGCTCGTCTCAGCGACTGGCTTGAGGAATGGCAAGGAAGAATATACGAAGATTGGGGACCGGACGGCGATGACGAAAACCGCATGATCGCAATGAAGAAAGTGAATCCGAAATTTATACCCAAGGGATGGGTTTTGGATGAGATTATTAAGAGGGTGGATAAGGGAGGCGAGAGAGAGGTATTGAATAGAGTCATGAAGATGGTAGCTGATCCATTTAAGGAAAGTTGGGATGGGGATAAAGAGGAAGAAGAAAGATGGTGTGGGGATGTGCCGAGGGGGGATAGAGCTATGCAGTGTAGTTGTTCTTCGTGAGTTAAGTGGTTAGTTGTTCGAGATGATAGGGGTTACGAGTATACAGTACATAATAATATATAGGTACCATGGGTAACTTGGAATTGGATCCCAGAATGCATTACATCACATGATACATACTGATGCCCAAACTGCATAGAACATGAACGAACACCCTCTTTAACCATATAAATAAAAATACAATTGAAGATAGTATTTCCCAAAGCATAAGATGTGCATCACGATATTGGTTTGATAGTTATTTCTTGCATTTCCAGAAGATGTAGACTGCAGTATCTAGTTCCCCACCTTTGTATTGACCATCAAACCTCATATCCCCATTTTCTCACTCGTTCAATCATGCTCATCTGATTCTTACGACTTTTCCTCCCCTTTTGAAGAATTTTCAAATTTCTTCATTGAAGATGAATGACAATCTTCATCCAAGCAAAATCAGCCCTTTCAGCCAACCTTTATTTGTCTCATCATTGACACCCAACTCCCGTAGTATAGTTTGATATCAAACGAGACCTGTTTGTCTTTGTGAATGAGAAAAAGACCCACTCCCTACATTCTCGATTGACCTACTTCACGCGCCACCGAAGCCAATGAAGGTCCAGTAATATCTCAGTCTCAATCATGAGACCCTTCGTGGTAATACACGCGAAAAAAAGGAAAAAAAAGAAAAAAAAAAAAGGAAAAGAAAACGACTGTAAACACGTTTTGAGAAAATTGCTCCTCCCCATTGCTGTTTTGATCTGAAATTAAAAAATTCATCGAAAAGTTTTTGATACACAGCAAAGAAACTTATCCTGATCCAGCAAAATTCGATTCATGATTTGGTAAGATTTATTGTGGCATGGCCTGGGAATCACCACGACCTCGATATCCTGTACCACGGCCACGTGTAGGCTGTCCATTGCCGGCATAACCACCTCTTCCTCTGTATCCACCACGGCCGCGACCACGACCGCGGTATCCTCCACGGTAGCCGCCATTATCGACACTTCCCTGGCCGAATGTCTCAACATTCTTCTTCTGTTCTTCACCTCTCCATTGATGTCCACCCGCTCTGTTTCCGGCGGCTTCCGTGCGGTCCTTTGCCTCACTTGATATGTTGTCGAAGAATGATGTAGCTTTGTTGTATGCCTTGGGTGCGGTTTCCTCAACCTCAGCCTCGGGCGCAGGAGGCTGCTCCCCAAGGGGAGATCCAGCAATAGCCTCCTTGACTAGGTCTTGTTTGTTGAACTTTGCATTAGCAGATTCGAAATCAAAGTCGGCGGCAGGGACATCGACTTTGGCTGGACCGGGAGCCCGACCACCACGGCCTCTTCCTCTTGCGGCAAACCCATTAGTGCCTGGTTGTCTGGGAGCGCGAACAGGTTCGGTTGTTCGCATTTCGTTGACCTTTCTGGTTAGATTATCAACTGCGCTTCCATTGGTTTGTTGACCTCCAACTGGAGGGAGTTTAGCCATTGCAGCAGCAACAGCGGCAGTCGCAGCTTGTGTGGCATCTCTCAAACTTGCGGAAGTATCATTTTGTTTTGGAGTTGCAGAAGAAGTGGTGTTTTGTAATGGAGCTTTGGTTACTGCAGGACTAGCTAATGGAATTGCTGGTTGAACGCGACCGCCGTTTCTAGGACCACTCGGGGTAGCTCGAGCAGCGGGAGGAGCTGTAGGTTGAGATTGTCTTGTAGTGTTTGCATCTACTTCAGTTGGTGAAGTCTTGGAAGGAGGTGGTGTTGCTTGCTTGGGAGCTGGTCCAGCATTGTTTCCAGCACCAGGAGCTTGAACATCTGCTGGTTTGTCTGTTGAGTTTGCGGAAGTAGGAGTTTGTTGTTTGTTCGCACCAGGTCCAATTGGCGATGGCTTTTGTTGCTGATTTTGCTGTTGGAAATGTTGACCGGGTGGTGGGAAACCATAGCCTGGAGGAGGGGGAAATTGGCCAGGGTGTTGAGGAAATCCATGTCCGGGTGGAGGATACCAGCCTGGTGGGCCACCAAATGGCGACATTCCTGGAAACCCTGGACCAGGGGGAGCTCCTCTACCCCATCCTGCAGGCGGAGGAGGATAAAATCCAGGAGGTGGATATTGCCCAAATGGCGCCATTCCTGGAGGTGGTCCTTGTTGCGGGGGAGCATTTTGTCCTTGTGGTGGAGGTCCTCGGGGATTTTGATTTTGAGGAGTAGGGGGTCCTGGCGCGGATGTAGGAGCTGGACGAGTTCCGCTCTATGATACGCGATCTTGTTAGCCAAAATGCTAGGAAAATCAAATAACGACTATATGATTTGGGAGTCTAGATCAGAAGGAAGGCAACGGAAAATCTCCACACGGTTTTGCGCTCTCGGAGACAATATGATTTAACATCCGAAATATTTCATCACTAAAAGGAAGTCGATAGGTACCACCAAGAATAACTTGGTACGCTGCTTATAAAGGATAGTTCACTTACTCCGAGAATCGCAGGATCATTGGGCACCTGTGGGGGGATGCTTTCTCTGGGCGCAGGTGCTTCCTCAATACGCAGATCCTTTACATCACCGCCACGGAAGACAATATATTCGTAAATGTTATCCGAAGCTGCGATCTCCTCATCGGGGTTTTCTTTTCGTCCTTCTGTTCCATGAGACTTGACATTTTCCAAGGCCACCGTTGCGTTTTCCGAGTTAATCTCATGAAGTGTCCCGACGTATCTTAACTCGCGTTAACACTGGGCCAAAAATGACTTAACCATCGTAAATACCTAATATCACTCTTTGACACCAGGGATATCCTTGATCTATAAACGCGCCTTTGTCAGTATGTGATGCAGAATGTTGGAGAAGATCTTTCAGTTTCAGCCTTGGAACTCACCCTATAAATTCAGACATGATGCCCTGTTAAACTGCGATCAGCTCACAGCACACAACTAGCTGTAGAATAACGAAAAAACGAGTTAGATCAAAAGAAAGAAAGAGTTTGTTGGATATCGGGCAATTGAGATGTATGGTGTTGAGGTGTGTTGGAGAGAGAGAGTTGTTTAATGTTGGGAGTTACTTTTGTGGAGGGCATGAGTGTTATTCTGGCGAAAAGCTTAGAGCTAAGGTGCGGTGCGGCAAGGAAGCGCTCGCTTGAAGTTTGTTCCTGTTTTGGTATAGGACCCGTCCCACGGCTCCAGCAATCGACGGGATTATGTAATATGATTGGTTGGATTGATCAATTACGGCAAGCCATATAGCAACTTGGAAATTCACTACGGTTAGTCAAATGAACCTATAGAACACGTCAACCCACCGTCTGGGATCATCTCAGCCTTATCACAACCACCTACGTGACCCCACCTCATCATCGTAGTGAATCTGAGATCTATCTACTGCCGAGAGCTACCTAGTATTCTCTACTTAAACCTCTATATCTTTCCAATACAATTCAATAATAACATTATCAACCACATCAACGATTTACCTCAATAGTATCACAACACCACAACACCATAACTCCTCACCCTCTTGATTCTCTTGGCCTTACAACCACCATCTAATAAGCGGCCTCGTCCACGTCGCCATTTACCACCATAATTTCTATGTTGCACCGACATCTGCTTTCCACCAGTAGCTTTTTGTCTTTTTCTCTCTTCATCGCCATCTCATCTCGTTCTCCAGAATGGCGACAGAGACTTTAGATCAAGCAGGAAGCAGTGATATCAGCATTTACAAGGATCTCGTATCATACTCATGGGATACAGATAATGAGTTCCAGGTAAGCTTTTTGCTATATTCTCTCATTTATTTGCCTCGGCAACATTATCCCTCCTGCATTTGCCGTCAATGCGTTATTCATAGTTATACGTTTTGGTATATCATCGACTAACATAAAATAGGGTGGTCTATCAGCTATATTGGGCAATGCATCTTCACCTGATCAAATTCGAGAATTGACGCTTCGGGCTCAGTGCTTCTATCTCTCTCGTAAGAAGAATATTGACATCAATTTTGATGGATATAAGGAATATCTGGCCACTCATGCATCCACATCTTCTTCTGCTGACGCCCCTACGCCTGATAGCGCCAGTTCAGCAGATGATCCTTCATCTTCCAATATTTCACATCCCGACCATGAAAATGATCTACCACCTGCTACCACTACAGCTGATGAGAAGGCACCGCCACCATATCCTCCATCTTTTGCTGAAATTGTCGCTTTAATCACAGCTGGTGCCACAATCCCGGGAATCCGTGATATTCCCGATACAGTTCTGACGGATCAGGGTACCAAGCCAGTTGCACGAAAGCGTCGTAAGCCATGGGAGAAAGACGTTGACGAGGAAACAATTCAGGGTGGGGGAACTTTTGGTGACCACCGAGATATAATTATCCAGCAAGAATACCCAACTGATCTATAAAGATATTTATTTGCATTGTAGTCACATTTTCCAACAAACGATTGACATCTTCGGAGTTTGTGGAAAAGGAAACATCCAGGGCGCGATTAAATTGTCAAAGCCAGGTACTGAGCTTCTTCATTTGCTACCCTTTTTCTAGTTCAAATGATAAAAGACCGTTACTTGTGATTTGTTCTGTGGATTTCTACAACGCACGCGGGTTTCTCTTCTAAAATCGCTGCTCACATTGCTTTTCGAGCTTGAAAGAATGGTCAGAGCCCTTCAGGTCAACTCCTTCAAGGCTTCGTGCAGTCATGACATTTAGCAGGACTTCATCAGAATTTGAATATCTATGACAAGCCCAGGATCAGACTACCGCATTGAGTCGGAATTCATTTTATAAATTTCTGGGGCTGGACATACGATTGTGGATCAATCTTCGTCCTCCAATTTATATCCGAATCATCTTAACATAGCACCTAAAATTAATTTTTCAATTACAATAAACTGGCTTCTCTCCCATGATTGTATCTTTTGAATCAATATTCGAGAGTTATTCCATGAAACGCATGATTAGATGGTCATAGAACTTGACAAATTGACATATATCTAAATCAGCTATCAACTTTGGAATAGCAGTCATTAGATGATGTCATACAATACCCATACATATAGTTTTTGAATATCTAATCGAAACCTTTCAAAATTCAAAAGTTACATACTCCATGGATTTTTTGAGGACTTCTCCTTCTAGTGTAGATCCTTCGCAATGTACATCCCCCTTATCATGACTTACCTTCAAAGAATGATAAGTCTGCAATTGTAATTGCAATTTGAAGGGGTGATAGAAAAATATTTCACTCGCTAGATCTACAGGTGGTTGCCAGGCACTATTGTATTTCCCTGCCAAGGTCTCGGACATCGAATTAGCGAGCACAGGTATGCTGCATCTGATGTTCTAAATCGTCCTATTGTCATTATAGTCATCTGTTCTTAGGCAAACCTTATTCTCAAATCATTGTGTCTTATAGCAAGGTGGTCTCATTTTGGTCATTGTCTTCCAAGATTGGGTTTCAGGTGACTAATTTACTTATCTAATATTCACTGCCTTCATTATCCATCATCTTCAATGAAATTAGGAGGACTTTCTGATTTCTGTGTATCTACCTTTAAATATGCTCTCAATAAATTCTTGAATTTCAGACTACACAATCATATTTGAAAATAATCAAGAGCACCTATAACGACTCCAAATTGGTTTAGCATCCTTTCATCTATTAATTTTGCCATTCCTTCCAACTCTTCATTATGAAGGTCCTCATGTTTGTCTCTGCACTTGTTGCATTCATCATAACTGCGCTAGCTGGAACAGTTCCTCTCGAATCCAGACAATCCATCGTCGGATTGTGGGGGAAATCAACTGATATTCCCGTTCTATATTGCTACAGTAAGTATCCATCAATTCCTATCATTTCTATTCCTTGACGCATTTGAGCCCCAGCTAACCAACATCATAGTGGACGCTCCATGCATGCAAATGCGACAGCACTGGCAGTCCTGTCAAGTAGATCTTTTCGAAGACATCAAAGCACCCATCGGCAATCCCACCGCCCGCGACGAATTAATCGCAAGCTGTCTTTGCAACGCTGGCATGCCAGCCCTAACATCCGAATGTCTCGCCTGCATCAGTCTTTCTAGCCAAAATTTCTTGGTCCAGGAAACTTTGTACACGATGGCTCAGGATGTGTGTGATAAGAAAACTACGCTAGGTCAATATGAAAATTATGCTTTGCAATTCGGCGGTGCGCTGCAGTTTCCGCTTGTTTTGCCGTCGCTTTGGCTTAATGGGACGAAAGTTACTTCTCCGAATCAGATTGTTGGGGAGGAGTAATTTTTTGGGTCGTTTTTGTGAGTGTACCCTACAGTCCATCAAGCATTGATGATTTGACCTGGTTCTCGCTGTGCCTACTAACTGACGAGTGCAGAATTTCGATAAATTCCTGGTGAAGATCGATCTGAGTATGCGGAAGAAATGGGCGCACTCTTGGAGTGCAGGTCTACTATGACGGACATGTTTCTTGACTCTTCCATGAATGTTTGATAGTAGTCGAGAGTTTCGGCGGCACTGTTTTCCTCGGGAAAAACTACTCTCCGGATTTAACGAAATGATTTTAGGATTTGTTAAACATTCGTTTTGATTTCATAATGAGATAGTCCTGCTTTCATGCTTATGCTTATGGTCGCTACGTTTTAAATGCTCTCTTGTGACTCGCAATGTTATATACATTTTCACAGTTACCCCCCAAGCAAGCTAGCAAATTCAGTAGAGGAACTTGCTGTTCCAAGCTTGAGTGTTCATTTACCTATATTCATAAGTCTGATTAATGTGCAAATTGCATCAGAAACCTTTTATCATTAGACATCACTTTAAGCTTCTCAAAGATGTCGTATCACTGTTTGATGCATGTCATTGGTACAAGAACGGCCCTTTTCCAATAAACCCTCATCATTTGCCAAAATATCTCGCAGACACAGAAGACTACCGCTTTCTTTCCCAATGTGACGATACCTTTGATCAGTTACATATAGAAGCTTTTATGGCCGCATCCACAGACCAGTTCTCATCTGCTAGACGATTCACAGCATGAAATACCCCCGTAATTTGTACAATTTTTTTCTGGCACCAAACCCCTTTTTCCTATTCCTCATTCCAATCCTCTAGTCTAATCGTAGGCACTATATCTCTTTCACCTTTGGATGTACTCAGACTCGCGGTGACGACTTGAATAAACGGTATTTCCCATCCTGAGACCGCGCTTGGATCTGTCCAGGGAGTAACAGGAACTAGTTTGACACCCATTAGTTAGTCAAATATTTAGATGATGTGATGAGTTGATAATTCGCGGACCCAAGAATATTACTCACAGCCTCGATTCCCAGCTTCAATCGCCCGCGATTTGATAAAATCAAGTATCATCCATGCATCTGATGCCAATCGTCTTGCTGACCAGTATTCAGTATGGGTTTCTACTTCTGGCGATGCTACTGGCTTGCCTAATGCCTGTCTCCAACGTTGCGAAAGACTTCTTTGGGATTCAACAGAGACATCATGGCGAACACTTGAAACCATTCTAATTCTTCCTGGAGCATAAAATTGTATCTCGCCGTTGTAAATTGGTCTCTCAGGTACTACGTCTTCGACTTTTAGTACCAATATAATGCCCTTGAGATTTACAAATGTCGAGACGATGCAACTGAGGAAGCTCAGCATATCTTCAAGCTCGAACAGAGATTTTCGTCGTGTTTTATACGGAATCGCGAGATATTTCAAATTGTGGAAAGCTGAGCGAGCAAGTGCTGATCTTCGTAGTTCGTCGAGCCAAAAGTCTCCTTGAATCCAGATGATGTCTTTAGGGTTGTAGATTATGTTTCTGTGCGTGCGTGTTGAGTAAATAGGAAATGCACTGGGCGATCCATCATTGAAAGAATCGCGCAAGGGGGTATTGCGTTTCTCGTTGACGATTCTCTTTAATGCATCCTCAAGGCTCAAAGTTGTTTGCGATCTTGTCATTCCAGGCTTGGTGAACCTATCAAGAAATATGTTTCGATACTCATGATTGAGACATAGAATGGGGGGCAAAGAACCACACGTAAGACGAAAGCGCTTTCCAAACATGTGGTCATGTTGTAGAAGATCAGATGAGACGAAATGCAATGTTGTAATGCGTGGTTCTTCGAGGTACAATTCCAAAATGTCAAGCTGTTGATATGCACAAGTGTCAGTTATCTTTCATTGAAAAGTAAGTCTTGTGGAGTATTACTGGACATTAGCAATGAGACACTCACTCTCAGTTCAATTGGCAAGCCTTGAAATCCATTAAACGTCCATTCTTCTTCCTCCTCCTCCCATGGCTCAGCATCATCAAGAACTTCTCCATTATTTTGTGCTTCGCCCGCACTGTTATTTGTGTCCAAGTTTCGATTCAATGAAGAATTAGAAACCTTGGATAATAACTGTTTCGAGATGGTCTTGACTTTGTGAAGAAACAGATGATTCCTGTGAGGTTCATGATCTGTGATAGCGGTTGAAATTCTTTCGAGTCTTTTTTTTTGAAAATCAGTAATAAATCGAAGCATCCTGGAAAGTAAGCAAGAATATGATATAAATGAGAGTCTGATGTTGTAATTCTGGTATGTAGGTAGCAAGTTTTACGACGTTGACTCTACAGATGAAATAGCCAAGAAATTAACCCTGATAGGTTTAGTGCAGACAAACTCAGCCATTATATTCACTCGAGAGGATACTTATCTTCCCTGGATTAGATGAGAATCAAAAAGATAGATAAGTCATGATTCATTGTATTGATAACAAAGTGCAATGAGAGTCCCCATCCCTCCGCACCTGATTCAGCCCACTTCTTTACTCCGCATTGTTCAAGATAATCGCCGCGACCTTTTCCACTTTGGTGAAATAAGTGTAAATTCTTCACAAGAAATATAAAATTACATGAAGTAGACTCAGAAGTTTACCAAAAAAAACAGGTCTAATCTCACAACTTGAGCCACTTCATTGCCAAGCTACGTAGAGAGTGGTATAAAATTTTAGCGAGCATGGTCTTGAAGCCAGCGTTTTTTTTTTTGATAGGAATTCCAGTATCAACGCAGTTGAGTTAAACATAGCTGTGCTGAAAGTTGTTCCAAAACAACAGATAATATACTGTACATTAGTCTCTCAACAGAGCCCAAAGAGAACTTCTAGGGCGCGGGTGGAGTTCAAAGTCATTCTGCCTCAACAATCACGATATCTCGACACCCCTTCTGCATAGTAGACTGATGAACTAGCTATTCAGGATTCTACTCATTCAATACTATGCCATGCTAAGCTCCAAGGACCAACCAAAAACATTTCAACGTCATTGTTGAAAATGGAATAGCTAAATCATTGAGTATTGGGAACTGTTTCGGGGTGCAATACATTGCTAACAAAGCTAAATGACGGGTGTTCATATTTGGTCCTTGAATGCATAAATACAATGTCAATACCTAGTTTTTCGTTCCGACATGTTACGGAATCTTTAATGAGCATCACTAATCACTTGAAACTGAATTCTAAATTAGAAATGATAATGTTCTGTTCAGAATAAACTACTAATGATACGTCTCCACCATATTTCTAGAACTTAACATTCTCTGTAGCCATGGACCGCAATAAGGGTAGCTGGTAAGAGATTTTTAAGTTAGAACAGCCATACTCGAACGCTGAATAGCGACCTCAGCCTACTTGAGCCAGCAAAATGAACATGATGCTTACGATTGCTCTACTGAAAGACACAACTACTCCGATTCTTGGCCACTCGTCTCAGGCTTGCGGTACCGCTTATCGCTTTTTGGTACCCTTAATACCTGCTGGAGCATGATGTAAATCGAAAGCGAAAGGGTACTGATGCCAGAGATGTTAGAGAGCTATGATGCCTGGAAATATTCAGTATTTAACCATGAATCAATGAGTCAATAGTTCACACCTTATACTCTTGCGCTCTTTGACCGGATAAAAATCGATGTCCTTAGGGGTAATTTGCTTTCTTGCATGCCTCTTCGAAGCTGATTTCAGACCAGAGTATTACTGGGGATTATTCTCAATTGTTCCGCCAGCCGATAGTGAAGTCTTTTCCTCCGTTCTAGCCCGTTTTTCAATCCCTTCTTTACCTATATCAGAAACCGCTCGTTTACGAGGAGACACCATTTTTTGCCTTTCAGCTTCCATTTCAGTTGCTTTCCCCATGGCGGTAATCGATTTGGCCAATTTAGCATTGTTCTCAATTACAGTTGAAAACACTTCTGCGACGGGTCGTCTTATACTTATTAAAGCTGCATCATCCTGTTCATTAGCTTCGCTAGCGTCATACGCTTGTCTAATCTGGGTGGCCTTCTTAGACCCAAGCTGCTTTTCACGCAGCTCATATCTCTTGATCATTTCTGTTAACTCCTCCCAAGTTCCATTTTCCTATAACACATTAATTTGAATCAACAAGGAGCCGGAGCTCAAAACTTACATTGATATTATTTGCTCGCAGCACTTGAAGTACTTGTTGCTCGAAACACTTCTTGGACCGTTCTGCTTGTTCCTACAAAATATGAGCCAATTGCAAACTCATTTCAATGTAAATTTACTTTTGTTCTAGTACGGCTGCGAGGAGCTGAGGTATGATATTCAACCACATGATATCTTTTGTAATGAACCAAAATACTCGACGTCCCGAAATTTTTCTAACTGATCATTAATTAACTATAACTTGGGGTGTATTTGTCGGGACATACCGTGTTTTTACATAGAATCCCATTTTGATTAAGCACACGACAGAAAATTTCGCCTTTAGGGACGTAAAATCCCCTGCCTGTTCTTTTCGACTGTCCGTCCACCCAATCTTCCATCTCCCATGCTGTCATTTCCTTTGGACGGGTTGTGAATGCATAGTATAGTTTGCCTAGATTAGGGTTCATCGTATCTGATTGTCAATCGACGTTATGGGAATAATTGCGGAGGTCGGTCTTATAACTTCAAATTTTCATTTGAGCTTGGAGATGGATTTGATCTAGCTGGGAGGGCTATCGAATACCGAGAGTTGAAGTTATGAATGCAGGTTTTAAGAAGTCTAAGGATAGAATTAATTATCGATTACTAACAGCTCAGTATGAAATTGATGAGAACAATATTTCGTTGAATCAATAAAGTGATGCAAAGTGTTGTTGAGTTCAAAGAATAAGAAGAAGAGGAAGAGGAAGCAACATGATCACACAAGATCCCGAGGTCTGTAGTATCCTTCTATAGAATCCGGAAGGAATCAACATCGCTTAGGTAGCAAAAACCTTTCCAGGCAAATACACTCATATGGTTCCTTCCCTTTATAGCTAGCTAAGTGTAGGAATGGATATCAAATCGAGGTGTGGATTGCCACAGAGCCTGTTAGAAAATGAAAGGTGCAGCTGTGATGAATGAATTAATCAAACATAGATACAGATAACCCACACATTACTTGATGCTCTAATGAGGAAATTACATGTTTTCAAGCTTCCCAGATGATCTATTCAAGAACGATAAGTGGCTTTTCACTGCGAGACGTGTGTATCCCTGTATACATTTAAGACTTTAACAATCAAACCATGAGGAGAAAAGATGACAAGATCTGTTCTGAAAAGGCCTGGGGTTTATAGAGTAAATAATGGTCACACTTAATCGACATGAGGAACCAAAATGATAGAATACATTTCGTGCTAATCATTTAGAATTATGCTTTTCAGATCCTATTTTTCACTCCTATTACACTACCAACGTTCCTCAGATTCTGATATACAGTCACATGCTATCATGTCGCAATATTCACTTAGCTGCGATCTATTTCCTCAAGGTTTTTGTACGTAGTAGCGGCTAGAAATTTCACAGATGGTACAGTCCATTTTCAAAATAATTTGGCCCGCCTGCATCTTGATTCGTGTCCATGATCTGCTTGTTACACCGTTGGCAAAGTACGTTACATGTTTAGCATAAAAAGATAGAAAGTAGTTTACTATTCCACGTCTCAACATGCGCCTTTCTACGGCGTAGAGCGCAGTGAAGATCTTCCGCTGAGATTGTCTTAATTGGGTTCGATATTGTCTGCGCTGTCTCCTGTCTCCTGTCTCCACATGAAATGGGACTTCAATGAGTGCGTCAAAGAACAGACTGATTTGTATCAATGATTTGGCTTCCATTCCCCGTGAGTGACACCAACTACAAATTCTTCGGACAAGGAAAGAATTGTTGGTGAATATTTGGTAACAACGGGGCTTTTTGGGAAACTTTCTGGCAAGGAGTTTATAAAGGTACTTTCGTCGCGTTAACCAGGAGTTGTAAGATCAAGATGGTCCACAATGACAATTAGTTGCCGCAATCTACTAAAGTGAGAAGCAAGAACAACAGACAAGCGATTAAGATTCTCCATCTCTATAAGAGCTTTTCGAGACGATGAATCAATGACCAACCTTCGGACCCTCCACTTCTTACCGAGAACAATCAAGGGGAATCTTATTCTGCTTGACCCTGACCAAAATTCGGTTTCGCGGAGCCACACTGTATCATTGGCGGCATTATAATTGATCTTTGGTATTTCTATGGATCCACTAGGACAAACGCTCTTATTGTATAAACAACCATATTTTCGAATTGCTTGTTGACGAGTCAGACGATTTATGAAAAGCTGGGAAATTCGCGGACCACTATAGATAGGTCGAAAATGACCGCCGCATGAGGAATTACGTTTTACTTGTTTGAATGAAGCGAGAACAATTCTTGGAGCTTGGAATGCGTATTTCTATATTTTTAGATGGGACTTTGCTTAGTTCTCTGTTTCATGGTTCATGACATCTATAGTTCCTACTGCGATCATGTTTACTTACTTTTATTTCCGTTGGAAACCACTCAAATAGACCAGAATCACCCCCGTTGGTGACCACCGTAACTCTTTCACCTGCGACAGTGATGTTGAATCCCTTTTTATCATCGGCGGTTTCAGTAGTTTTCGAATCGGATTTCCCCATATCCACCATGCACGCCGGAAGTGTTTGTACAGAATTAAGGCCAAAATTATCGATTGCAGAGTACAAGATATCTGTTCTTTTCAAGATCCAATCTGGTTTGGTGCCCGAAATCTCTAAATCTTCGTTGGCAGACATAGAGACCGTGAAAATGGAATTTCGTGGGAATATTCAGATAGCGAAAAGTTTCCCTGGCAGGGTTTGGTTATGAGGGCACAAAGTTATCCTCAAGCCAAAGGATACCGAGGTTGCAGAATATTATCAATGGTTCTCTAAAGATCAAAGTCATTGATGATTAGTCTTCAGAAGTTGCTGGAGTTTCATGTGAAGTTGATATCCTTCTAAAATCTAAGAATATTGCTCGGAGTATACAATTACCCGAGAGTGTATTGAATAGAGTGGAATGAATAACCGATTTCCCTATTACATGCACGTCCCTGCTATATGCACGATCTCGATCACCTATTTTGAATAACTTTAAAAATTAATAACAATTCCAATCTATAAGATAAAGAGCTAGCAATTTAATTAATAAATGATAAGATATAATACTATTTAAAAACGTAATAAAATCTTCAGATTTTGAATTTCAATAGAACTTATAATACTTACTCTTTATTAGATCGTAATATAACCTTCTTTTTTTTCCTCTTTAAATTATTAGTTTTTATAGTATTAAAAAGCTTTATAATCTTTATCAATATTAGATTTATAATAGAAAAAGTTTTGAAGAACTTTTTATCTTTTTTGATTAAAAATTTTATTAATTTTAGAATCTTTTTAATCTTCTTTTTTATATTATATACAATCTAATAATCAATCTTTTTTTACAATATTCTCTTTTTCATTTTAATCTTCTTCTATTCCTTTTCAGTTTTTTTTTTTAGCTTTTATTTGAAGCTTAGTTTTCTTCTCTTATTTTTCTTTAAATATTTTATCTTTTTGATGTATTTTAGTTTTAATAATAGTAGAAAGTAATTATAAAAATATATTATTTTCCTTTTCTTTAATAAGATTTAAATACTTTAAATAAGCTCTTTTTCTTTTTTTAAATTTTAAAATCTTTTCTAAACCTTTAGATCTATGTCCTTATATAAAAGCTTCAACTTTTAATGTAATTGTAACCTTAAAAAGCTTTAAAATAATCTTATAGATGGGAGTACAACAAAATTCTAGTTTCATTCTACATATTGTTTTTGATGTATATGGTGTAGTAAGAGTATTCCTACAAATTTTAAATAATATAGGTGATATAGGAGAAGCTTTTGGAGCAATATAGTCGATTGTAAGTGTTGTTTTTAATAAATATTAATTAAATCACTTAATATTATTATAATATTAAGGGAACTAATTATAATAATAAAATTCTATTATTATAATAAAATAATAAAAATTCAATAACGTAACGTATGGGGAACTCGGACATATGGGGAACTCGGACACTTTTAGCCCATCACCAACTTGAAACCGCAATAACTTTTATTATGCATACCCAATCACCTTCTACATCTGCTCAAATTGAAGAGAAGCTTCAAAAGGCTATAATTTCACTTCAATTGAAAGAATTTAAATCAATTAGAAAGGCTGCAGAGCATTTTGAAGTCCCTAAGTCTACCCTAGCTGATAGGCTGGCTGGGAAGAAAACACGTTCCCAAACCCACGAAATGGCTCAAATTCTTTCAAACGCAGAAGAAAATACTCTTGTACAATGGATTTCACAACTTACCATCACTGGATTCCCTGCTACACCTATGTTGGTGAAGGAAATGGCCGACGAAATTCGTCTTCGACGCGTTCGGGTCGCGTCATCTCGAAATCCTACCTCGACAGAAATTCCACCTATAGGCCACGAATGGATCTATAGATTCCAAAAACGACATCCAGAACTTAAAACATGCTATTCACGTCAATTAGAGTCTAATCGGGCTAAAGAAGCAACTCCGGAGAATATTCAGGCTTGGTTTGACGCGTTTCGCACGCGTCTCATTGAGCGAAAGTATGAATTAGATGATATGTATAATATGGATGAAACCGGATTTGGAGTTGGAAGTACTCAAAGTACGCGCATTATAGTCGATTCTACTCAGAAATCGAATTGGAAAGTTACAGCTGGCAAGCAAGAATGGATAACTGCATTTGAATGTGTCAATGCAGCTGGAAATGCTCTATCACCTATGGTCATTTTCAAGGCTCAGAATACGAATTCTGCATGGATTCCAAAGGACACACCTCAAAGCTGGCAGTTCTCTACTAGTACAAATGGATGGACCTCAAATAGCCATGGATTAGAATGGTTAAAAAGGGTTTTCGAACCAGAATCCAAGAAAGTGTCAGGTGACCGACCTCGACTTTTGATCATGGATGGCCATTCAAGCCATATTACAGGTAGCTTTATTGCTTTCTGTATAGATAATGATATTGATTTACTTATATTACCTCCTCATTGCTCTCACTTGCTTCAGCCACTTGATATTGCGGTGTATGGGCCAATGAAACGATATCATGCTTTAGAGGTCGATCGATATTCTCGAGCTGGTGTAAAGCGAATCCAAAGAGCTGAATGGGTAGAACTCTTTCAAAATATTAGAAAAAAAGCATTGAATTCTTCTAATATTAAAGCTGGCTGGAGAGGAGCTGGTTTAGTACCTTTTGCCCCACGAAAAGTACTCGATTCATTACCATTTAACTCCTCCCAGCAACCTTCTACTCCACAAATGAGAACCCCCAATCAAGACCTAGACTTGTCTATACTCAGGAGTTCTCCTCCAGATGGAACAGAACTAAGGCAAGCAAATCAGATCTTTAATACAGCTCTAGCAAGCAGTGGTTCTCCTGCATCGCCAACTCGTCGATATGCCAAGAGAATGACTAGGCTTGTAGAATCTCAAAATGCTGAGATAGCCCTACTTCGGAAACAGCTCTCTGATGCTCAGGAGGTAATTGAGACTCGAAAGAAAAGAACTAAAGGCAAAAGAGTCAAATTACAAGGTCAATTTGTCTTTAGTACTAAGGAAGTATTGAAAATGGTACGTGAGGCGGAGGAAAAACCGAAGGAGAAAAAGCCACGAGGACGGCCACGCAAACGCCCAATTGAAGAATCAGAAGAAGAGATTGAAGAAGAAGAGCTAGAGAATAGTTCAAGTGATTCGGAATTGGAATTGGAGGATTGTGTGGCTCGTAGAACAAGATCGCGTGTAGAATAATTGAAAAAGTGTCCGAGTTCCCCATACGTTACGTTATTATAAGAAAAATTTCTTATATTCTTTATTTTCTTTATATAAGGAAGAATACTATTATAAAATAAAATAAAGAATTCTTTATTCAAAAAGAAATCCTTTATTAGCTCTTTATTCAAAATAATAATTCATTATTTTGAAAAATTTGAAATATCACGTGGAAGCTAGCCCAAATGCGGAATGACAGACGCAATATTAATTTTTCTTTATTATAAAATTGATTTGAAATCAATAAAGAAATTGATTTCAAATCAAAATATTGATTTCAAATCAGAATTTTCATGTACGCCACCTACGTATTATAGGCTGTATAGAGGGCAGGAAAAAAGCATAAATAAGTGGCTTAGGTCCCTGTATTCAGATCTTTTTCTAGAACCCACTTTTATATGTATTCAAGATTATATAATACAATAACAATTCAAGCTTCAATAATAATAGTAATTCTATTTATAAATTCTATAAGCCTAAGCTTCCCATATAGTACTATTATAGTACTATTCCCAATCCAGCCTAGTCAATCCCCTGCTAAGCGCATAACCTGCAATAGTAAGACTCCTATTTATAGAATATATACTCATTTTTTCAAAGGATTATAAGATATTATATCTTATATAAATAAGCTTTTAAATCTTTTTAAATATACTCCAAAATATATGTTTTATTATATTAATAATCTCCTTATTATTATACATCAAATTATTTAATAATGTATTATAATTCATCAAAAGGGCACTAAAGATTCCAATGTTAAGAGGCTGTAGTCAATATATAAAATAAGAGAGGAGAATTAAGACAATAATCTTTAATTTATTATATTTTGAAAGGAATTTCATATTAATATAATTAAAATGATTATTAATAATAAGTAAAAGATATCTTCCACCTGCTTTTCAATATATAATAGAATTGAATATATTTATAAGCTAATATAGACCAAAAGCATTCAACGATTACCTATTGCTTAAGACTTTAAAATAAACTTTATCCTTTTTCTTTATATTCTGAATCTATATATCTTATAAATCCCCTAAGTCTTCTTTATAAATAAAAACAAAAGGGAGAGCTATCCTATTAATGCATATAGCTATCAATAGAATGATAAACTCTTTTAATCTATCTTATCTAACTTTTATTATTCTACCTTTATTATAGATGTTAGTACTCATTATCCTTTTTATAATTCTCCCTATACCAATTATAAAGTCCTTCTCATTTCAATTGTATATATCTCTTGGCCGTATATTATATTTTATAATCACTTTTATCAACTAAATTAAAAAAAGAGGGGTATTAATAAGAATATTTTAAATAATAAAGATTAACAATAATAGAAAATAGTTCAAATCAGATTACAAAAGTAATCAAATATAGTAATATTATTAGCTTTTATATACAAATTATTAATATAATAAAGATATCGACTTTTAAGATATATTGAATACTTTTTAACAAAATTACTAATTCAATTCTTTTTCATTTTTTTATTTAAAATCTTTTCTATAAGGTTTCTAACTATACAACTTATAAAAGGAATAAATCTCTATATCAACTTATTAATTTAATCAATTAAAACCTTCTTTGATTATTAAAAAACACTTATTTTATATTAAAAAAGAATTGTTTTTTTAAAATGGTTTTATTTTTATGTCATTAGAAAAGTATAAATCAATTAATTTTGAAAAAATTAATTATTTAAATATATTTAGAAGCTTGAACCTTTTTCAAATAATTTAATACAAACTTTATACAAGTCTTTAAAGGTATATCATTGATGTTTAAAGTTATAATATTAATATTTTCAAAGTTGTGCACGTAGTAGGGATGTGTATATAGTGGGGAAATCGGTTACTACTCATCAACATTTGTTGTAAAAGTTATATTATGGGATCAATCACATGTAGAAGATTTCAATATTAGATCCATTCTTAAAAGTAGTTAGATGGTCATGGAAATGCTTATTATCTAATCTTATATACTAAAATAGTTATTGCTACATATTTGGTACTAGAATTTTTAACAGTAGTTGGTAAATGATTATACAGCTGTGTATATAATTCTGACGGTGATTAGTTCAGAATTCAAATTGGCACAAAGAACGTGTTTCGAATCAATGACTTCACTCTTCAATCTTTCACTCATTTACGCTAATCTAAGAAGAGGTTTCTTATCAGTCAGAGTAGGCACTCCAACCGTTTTATGTACATCTTTTATAATATTGTCCCCCATTGCAATCCATAAGCCTGCCAACTTTCAAAAAAACACATCTTTCAACATCAGCAACAATAACAATATGACAGATCACACACCAGATTCCCCCTCTTCTGGTCACAATGAACCTAGAGAAATGAAGCTTGAATACAAAACTGAGAAAGACTTAGATTCTTCAAGTGGCCCAAAAGATGAATTGGAAGAAGAATATAGTATTTCCGATGTCATTTTTGACCTTGTCAGAAGTTCAACAAGTGATATCTCTCATAAAGATTCCCAAACCCTCAGAGATGAATGTAAGGAGATTAAAGCAACCAGTGTCCCTTCCGATGGAAAGATCCAGTCTGCCAGCAGAAACGAATGTTTTTATGAGCTGGTGACTGCAGGTCGTTTCCACGGAATCACATCTTCTACTTTAGATTTTATCTATACAACATTGGACGATAAAAACGTGTCTAAAAGTTCTGAGCTTAGTGGAAAGATCGGACAGGTTTTTTTCAGCTTTGGGAGATGAGCTCTTCAAAGAAGATGAGGAAGTGCTCTTTGAGAAGTTCCCTAAACTTCCTCTTGAAGTTCGAGTACGTTAAACATTTCAATGTATCCTTCTGCTAGTTTAAAGACAACCTTGAAGTAATCCCACGATTCCCGCTAAGATTTTCACAGACAATGATCTGGGAGCAGGCTCTCCTAGAAGCAAAAGTTGTGCGCATCGGTATTGTGCCAACAGAACGCACAATAGGACATTGGCAATACTGCTGGGGTGATCTTGTACAAATCGATCATCACGAACCGATGCTACTCGAACGAAATCACATTCTCAAGACCCCTCCCTGTTCTCTTCTCTCCGTCAATAGAGAATCTCGAGATCAAGCCTTACAAGTACATGGTGTATTCTGGGAACAGAAGCGCCCGTTTCAAGAAGCCGAGGATGGTTATGTTTCAATCAAGCGCATATATGTCAATTGGGAAATCGATACCGTATGGTTGGATTACAACCTCTCCATCGCGTGGCGTGATAATATAATGGATCCAAGCGACAGAAAAATCATACCAATGCCAGCATACGAAGAAATTCGTCGTCTAGCAATACCAGCAGAATCTATCGAATGGCCTTGTGATATGCACGCCTCAGATACAGGATTAGCAATTGCAGATTTCCCAGATCTAGAGGAATTGACTTTGCTAGTTCCTACAAAAGAGACAGTATGGAGCGGCCCGATTCTCGTCCCAACGGCACCAAACACGACATTCTCAAGCTAAATTGGCGAATTCCATACGGAGGCACTTGGTGCGGGTCTCGAGTCTTTTATTGATGACGATGAATACGACATTGTTATTGAGGATTTCGATATGGAGGAACTGAGGGACTGTGTATATTGTGTCTTTCAGCACACCCTTGAGGATTTTTATTCTTCAGACAAGGAGGAAGAAATCGCAGGTAAGTATGACGTCTCAAAGATATCGAATCACGCAACTGATTATTCGTACCAGCGGGATATATACGTGATCTTTCCACCTGGGAATGGCCAGAGGTTCAATACATGGAAGTTAGCACAATTGAGAAGGAGAAAGTCAAAGTTAGAGTTAAAGCTTTACTTGACGTTCTGCCAGCGGAGGTCTATGAAAAAGACGATGAAGACACAGTCGGACGACGCCGTGCTCTCGACTTTGCTAAGGGTATTACACTTTGGCGAAATTTGCGGTAAAGGGATTTCAGGACCAGGTAGATATCTCCAATCGAGCAAAGACTAGCACCTTGATTGGGGTTTCCGAGCTGGGTTCATAGTAATGAATGTTTTACAATTTTTCAATAAATGGATGATACATATGATGGTAAGATTTGGCACTATATGCTTATATTAGCAGTACAAGTACAAATTGGACAGCTCAATACTCATTTCCCATCTAGTGTACGTGAAATGTTTAAAACAGGAATAGCAAACGACACAGCTAATGTCCTGACTTCCAGTCCAAAAGCATACCTAGTTTACTACTAAAGTGGGCCATTCAAATACAATATGGAAAGCTTAAAAGATTGATATCAAGTGGAAACATTCTCGCATTTTCCCTTACCTTCCAAGTCATGCCTATGCCTCCCTGTTCATTTTTCCACTCAACCTTTCTCTTTCACAGCACCTGTTACCTCCAAAACCAGGGGGAAATGACTGCAGTATCACTGATATCACCTGTAGAGTGATGAAGTAATGATTGATTTTTAATTGCATTGTCAGTTACATATTGTACAAGGTAGCTTCAGTCAGCTAACCCATAAAACTTTCCGAATTCCGTCAGAATCCTTTACCAAAGATTACGCCTGTGGATAATTATAACAACTGACAGGTGATTAGGATATGCCAACAATTTCAAGTCGTATTCCCAATAATCTTAATCGTAAAAACATCTATCTACGCGGATCCCGTTGATCATCCCTGCTTCGGTAATATTGTTGTTCTCTTTCCCTTTCCTGCCTCTCTCTCTCACGTTCTCTCTCATAGTGATGCTCAAAGCGCTCTTGATTTTGTTGCTGTTGATATTGCATGTGGTGGGAAGGTGCTTGAGCATAACCTTGCTGACCTGAAACTGATGTAGATAGAGCAGCATTATAGTTTCGGGCATCGAAGCTATTTTGTCGTGAATTGTGCACATGATGGCCTACTTGATGACCTTGAATCCATTGACCACGTGGTGCTGGTGGAGTTCGATGTCCACTTTGTCCACTTTGTCCGAATGCCATAGATCGATGACTAGCTGCCACTTGAGGTCCTGAATGGAAGTCCACCGGTGTATTCGTTTGTTGTGGCACAGCGAACTGTGATTGACGACTATACATATCACGATCAGAAGCTTGAGGTAAGTCATGAGGAGACGACATTGTCTGACGTGCCATCTGTTGACTAGCAGGAGGAGGAGTAGCAGAATAAGGTGATTCATTAAGCTTGGTAATTGGACTTCGTGTGTATCCGCTCGGAGCATTTATTTCATTTAAGGGTTCTCGACGAATAGATGAAGACTGCGAACTAATTGCTTGGCGAGAGGGTTGAGAATACATCTGGTGATGTTGTACAGTTGGAGGTGCATGACTTCGGCCTTCATAAGGTGTTGGTGTGTAACTGCGACCCACGGAGGATGAATGTTGATGCATGGATTGGGAAGATGGTTGGGAATACCCATGCTGTGGATTAGTTTGAGAAGATAGTTGATGCTGAGCCTGCTGTTGCATCTGTTGATTTTGTTGAATTTGTTGGGATATTTGTTGCGACTGTTGAGATGAATGCGATGAAAATCGTGAAGTCTGTAATGAACGTTGAGGTGGTGGAGTTTGTGAATTTTGAATGGGAATTGCCGCGGAACCACCAACTCTCTTTGGTTGGACTTGTGCTATGGGAGGAGCTCTACTAGGCTCACTGGATTCATCGTTCAACAAGGACATGATATTGGAAGTCTTTCTTGGTGTGTCTTGCTGACGTATAGCAGCAACAGCCGCTGGTGGGGGTGGTGGTGTTGAATACTGCTCTTGAATGGGCGGGGTAACGATGCCTGATCGACCGAAAGCTGGAGAGGGAGATGGAATCAAGTTTGGTGCAACACTCATACCATCACTAAGCAAATTCCTGACACCTTGACTTCTCGGATATTGTTGGTTTGGTGCTAAAGACGGTGCTTGTCTTCGAATCTCCGTTGCGGTGACTGCTGGATATGTGACTCCGGGTCTTGTAGGTGCCATTGATCCTGTACGGCTAGAGTGTGCAGAGTATAGTTCATATTGTTGTGGATTTCGGACATCAATTTCCTCTTGCTTCATCTGAAAATTTCGTTGTTCTCGCTTTTCTTTTCGATCTTGTTGTTCTCGTTGTTCACGCTGCTCATGATCACGCTCTTGTTTTCTCTTCAGATTTCGATCTAACTGTTCTTGTTTCGACTCCCTTTCCCTTTGTTGCTGTTGCTGCCGCTCGATAGCCTCCATTTCCCTTATCTGCTCTTGTCTCTGGAAAGCTTGCTGTTGCTCACGATGTGTCTGTTCTCGCATAGCTTGTTGCTCTCGAAGGGCTTGTTCTCGCTCTCGAATCGCTTGCTCTCGAATAGCTTGCTCTCGAATAGCCTGCTGCTCTCGTCTGGCCTGGTCTTGCAAAGCTAGCCTTTTTATGGCTTGTTGTTGTTCCTGTGACATTCGTTCTACCTCATGCTCGAGAGCCTTCTGTCTCTCTCGATGGGCTTCCTCAGCGACCCGGGCTGATCTTTGAGAAGCGAGTGTGGTTGGATCGGAAATTGGCGAAGCAGTCTGAGATTGTTGAGAAAGATTACTCTGTAATGTGGGACGTTGATTATCAGTCGTGAAGAAGCCCATAGCAGGACCTCTTGGTTGTCTAACTTGCTGACTCTGAATTTGTTGCGGTTGTGGTTGTATCTGAGAGGCTGTTGTTGATGGTGATGCTGATATCGGTTGTTGTTGTTGTTGTTGAGGAATTTGAGATAAGCTGTGTTGATTAGCCTGATGATGGGAGCGTTTAGATGGCAAGGAACTAGGAGTTATCGTTTGATTCATGGATTGGGGGACTGGCCCAGCTTGAGCTAAAGCTGGGAACCTAGTACTTAATGTGGGTTGAGGAGGGGAGGTTTGGGAAAGAGTTATAGGTTGGTTAGCAGATAATTCATCGAGATCCATAGCAGAAGCTGATCTTGATAAAGGAGCAGGTGTGGGGTCATATCGTCGCTTTGTTGGAGCTGTTGGTGTTGGTGCCGGTCCAGTAGATTCGCCTCTCTCACGTTTCGAGTCAGCATCTCGAGTAATCGTTTCCCATTCTTTTTTACTTCCAGAATCAACCGAGCGTTGATAGTAGTTCTTGACCTGTTCAGTAATGTTAGCCAGCCGCTTAAAGCCTGGTTTCCCTTTCTTGATATCAAGCCAATCAGAAAATATATCGTTATATACCATGGTATGTGTTTTTGTTCCCATATGTTTTGCAATTCCTTGCCAATCTGTACCAAAATGTCGTAATAATTCAGGAAAGTCATGCACCTCCGGGACACTCCAATAGCTTGAAGTTTGTTGTTGGGCAGTAGAACGACGATCCGGTTGAGATTCAACAGCTGTTGGAGGGGCAGATCCAACACGTCCAGGTGCAATTGGAACCTCTAGATTAGCTAGTGTAAGTCTTTCAGGTGTCAAAAATAGTGGCGAAAATGCTGGAAGTTGTTGAGGAACAATGTTATCATGTGGAGGAAAGCGAGCAGGAGCTACAGGAGGTCTTATTGGAGTAGGCTCGGGTGCAGCGGTTGATGGAGGAGGATTCGGCGAATCATCGTTGCGGGCAGCAGGAGATGGGGCAGCTGCTAGAAGTTGACTAGTCTTGGGTTGTTTTGGAACCTTCTCTCGTGGAACCTTTACTTTTCTTTTGGGTGGAGCCGAGTCGCCATTCGCATCTCCTTTTGGGGTAGCAACTCTTTTCGCTGGGGTTGGTGCAGGGCTGGCACCTTCATTGTCAGTTGGTGGAGGTGCTTCAAAATTCCAGGTTGGAGCAGCAGCTCTCCTAGGTCGACGTCGTTCATTTCCATTCTCGACATCAGGTGTAGCGTCGGTGTCATTACCGCCTCCATTCTCTATGTTGGTAATGAGGACGCTAGATTTTTTCGCTCCTTTCCTCCTACCAGTTTTAACCTGATTATTTTTCTTCTTGAAGATCGCTTTCCATTCGTCAGTTGTTTTAATAATATAATAGTGCTGAATACAAGCCTTGTAATCACGATCTGGAAGGCTTTCTGCGATGACAGAAAATTGCTTGCCAGAATGGGAGTACTTCTCTCGAAAAATCCGAGCCTCTTCTTCAGTGAAATTGTCGATGGACTCTCCGAATTCAAGCATGCGAAAGGATCGCTCAAATGAAACCCTATGCGTAGTATCTACAAACATAGTCTCTTTGTATTCATCATCCCAACACATGTCTGGAATGCTCGCTTCCTTGGAATTAGCGGTCTCTTCCCTGGCATCCTGCTCTTGCTGTTCCTTCGATTCTTTGGCTTCACGCTCGGATTCACGAAGGACGCGTTCTATGTCGTGGTCTGTCGCAAATCTACTCCCAGTGCGCCGCTGACCCTCTGTCTTCGGATCTGAACCATTTACCGATTTGCCTCGTTCGACCGATTCCTCGGCTTCCCTGTCTTGGGCTTTAGCAAATGCTTCTCTACTTCGTACAGCAATTGGATCCATATCCATATCAGTAAATGTGCGGTATTTGGCATAATTGTCCGCCCACAATTTCCCCTCTTCTTGTTGTCTTCTCCATTTCTGCGCCATTTTTTCTTCCATAAACCTCGTAAGAGAGGGTTCGGCATCGGGTGCAATTTCAAGAGAGCTCAAGAACTCGGGGTCCTCGTCCCATTTACTATAATCATACATTGGCAAAGATTCCGGTGGAGGTGTCTTTGTATCCCTAGGGTGCTTGACAGCGTCGAGAATTTTAGACTGGCGATCCTCTTCGAGAGCGGCTTCTTGTTGAACAAGCTTTTGCCGTAAAAGTTGGAATCCGGCTTGTTCGGCTTCATCTTCATCATCATCGCTTTCTTCGGGGATCTCCATCGTTAGTTCTGGGGCCTGTGGTACTGGCGAAGGCATCTTTTGTGGTGCAGAATCATAATGACCATCTTGATCTTTTTGAATCCGGCGAATATCTTCTCCGGAATTGCCCATGTCATTGACTACCTCCTGGTTTGCAGATTCATTATTTTCAAATGTCTCTGTACCCTCCATCTGATGATCACCATCTGCATCTTTACCCATTGATCTTTGGATCGGAGCCTGAGTTCTGGGGCTGATTAATGAATCATCTTCAGGTGCTTGAGCATCTGGGAGGATCTCAGTATCAATAGTTCCTAGAGATAATGGAAATTTGTAGACTGGTTCAGGTTCTGACTTTCTATCCTTCTCAGCAGCTAATCCTGATGCTTCGTCTGACACGGGCGGTGCTATATCTGTTGATGTTCCAACAACTCTTCTGTCGTCAAGCGATTCCAAGATACGCTCGGAATGGTTTCTTGATGACGAAGGAGAAGATGGCTTCTCTGAGCTAGAGATATTTGCACTAGCATGTTGAAGCTCCACGCTAGAGAGGGCTTGGATGTTGTTGGAGGTGTTTTTTTCAAGATCAGTTCGTGATAATAGTGATGACTCAGTCGTAGAAGGCTGGAGATCCGTGTGCTCAATAGTAGCAGGTTGAATGTACGAGGGTGCGGTATCTTTAGATGCATCATCTATTAGGGAAGTCTCTTCGAATACACCCGCTTTGGAGGAACTCTGTTTAGTGGATGGGTCCTTCGAGTTCTCAGCATCTGCTTTTGTGACTGTGGGATGGGAAATATCAACATCGATCTCGGTGGGTTTGGTGGGGGTGCGAGATTCTCCTTCAGAAGGCGACTGGCTCCTTTCGATGAGCATTGGAGCAGGATGAATTGCTGGCGTTGAGGCTGCTTCTTTGGGGATAGAATCTTTTGTGATCACATCAGTAGTGGAATTGGAATCTTTGATGACAGCATTGGGTGTTAATCGTGGTTCCTGGGAGGGTATAGCTGGCTTTCCTGGGTCCATAGTTAGAGGTTGACTTGAATGTCGTTGATGTTTTTCATTTTCGCTCGAGTCGATTGTTGCTGCTGGAATGGGTGATTTCAGAAATGGGGGAGCTGGACGTTGGTCTTCACCGACAGAGGACTTAGAATCGGCCGATGACATTTCTTTCGTCGAGTCCAACACTACGTCGGACTCTTTCTGAGGCTCTGAGTGAGGTTCAAGCTCAGATACAGATTTATTTCCCCCCCCAGTCGGTACGTGAGGCGTATCCTTTGCGGACTCAGAGCCAACAGATTGGGTTAAAGTATTCGAAACGTCTCTTGTGTCTAATAACAAAGGCAGATCTCGAAACGAATTGACAAGAAAGAACTGGTCAAGAGGAGGTAAGTCGGGTCTGTTGCGAGCATCATTCATGCTACGCCTGACCTCCGCTAGTTCACTCTCAAAATTGATCTCATCCTCGGGGTCATCATCATTGAAGGGGTCCAAATCGGAGTCGGAATAATCATCACTAATCGGTATTTTAGGTGGGCGTCTACCGAATAAGGGCTTTCGCTGGCGACGTTTTTTGTCAATTCGTACTACCTCATCAAATTTATGTTCTGGTGTTGCAACAACTTGTGTGTCCGATCTGGAATCTAGTGGGGGGTTTTCGATGGACTGCGGAATTATAGATTTCGCAGGAACATAGAGGCTGCCTGGAGCTCCACGGCCGGCAAGAAAACGGGGCGCAGTTGGGACCGATACACCAGGTACAGGACTTTTACTGACCGATGCTCCAGTTGAACCAAATGCAGGAACTTGAGGAGGAGGAGCTTCACATGGTCAGCATCATTCACAGAAAACAAATGTAGAAACATGCACAGGATCAGAATTAAAGTGCCAAAACAGGAAAAATAATCAAATCATGAGACTTACTTGCAGAAGGTTGCGTTCTACGTGGAAAATTCGGTTCAGGAGATCTACTGCGGACTTGAGGTCGATGATAGTGTTCATCGTAATTGTAAGGTCGTCCACGTCCACGTGCTAATCCGTTTCCCCTTGCCCTACCGTAGCCATGAACAAATGGTTGAGATGACTCGGATGAAGGCGAGGTAACAGACATTGGACCGTCTCGTGAGCCTCTTCGAGCACGATCAAGGTCCAGGCTTGAAGGTACATCACGAGTATCTCTGCTATTGTAATTAGGAGATCTTCCCCTGCCAAGAGGAGATGAAGGCCTTCGCCCTTTGAAGCTGTCCCGACCACCCCATTCTCGATCGCGGCTTCGATCATCGCGAAACGGTACCAAAGGTCCTCTATTATCCCTTCGAACATCTCTATAGTCCCTCTCTCTTTCTATTTCTCGGCCACGGTCTCGATCCCGATCCCGATCCCGATCGCGGTCTCTACTCTCATCCCGCCAGCTACCTCTTCCGCGACCACGACCTCTGCCACCTCTGAAATCACCTCGATATCCAAAATCGCCTCGATATCCATCACCAAAATTATTGCCTCTAGGGCCGCTTGGGGGATCAATATAACTTTTGGATCCAGCCCGTGGTCCTCGAGGGGGGTCGCGTAATGATGAATCTCGATTTGCATCTCGTGAAAGTATATGCCTATCTGAGAAAAGCTCTCGATTTTGATTGTGATTAAATGCGGCAGTGTTCGCTCTTGAATTCGATGGCGATCGGCGCCTATCACTGCCGCGCGCAGCCCCTCTATAAGTATCGGAATCGCGGGAGTCGAGATATCGCCTTGGAGATCGATCCACAGGAGAGCGGGCGCGAGGTGATGTATGTGGTCGAGTCCTGGAAGATTGAGGTTAGAATCAGTTTTCATACGATGATGATTGGAGCGACAAACATTGTGATGAGATTTGCAAGAGGGGAAGACTACAATCGGTAGTAGTCCCCAGTGACCTGTCGTCCTTTGATCGATATTTCAGCGACTGACGACCTAGTATTTACCAGTATTTATCAGTATGGCCAATGCCTTTACGACTCTGGCCCGGCGCTGCTGTTCATGGAGCGGATACTAAGACAATGTCAAAAGTGTAAGCAGTGGGTATTGATGTTGAATGACAGCACTGAATGTTGTTGCTGGTGCAGTACTGAATTTCGAGAAGCATGCGAAATGTATTCGATCGAATACTGAGGTTGCCGCAATTGTTCATTCCCGCAGCACGACCGATATAGTTCGACTTGACTCTAAAAGTTTGACCAATCAAAACTCGTTGTTTGCGGTCCGATCCTTCAAGGTTTTATAGCCTCGAATTTTGACCTCAGCCTCAGAGCTTTTGGGCCTAGCTTCGATAATATCATGTGATTAGCCACACTTGTGCTGTTTTCAAAAGGAATCAATCGATGCTGATTCGTCGATTTATTATTATATTGATTCATAGTGAAAACCTCCAGCTCCTTTACTCAATAGGAATCTGCTTCAAGATTACCTAATCAATTCTTAAATCATCCATGATTCCCCTGCACATTAGATAATGTTCTGATGATCCCATACTCAAACCCATAACCTACCTAGGTACAGGTACCTATAAGCATTTAACCATTTCCCCGCAATGATTTAATCCTATTGAAGTCGCACAAGTTATGTGCTCCACTCTTCAGCCACAATATCGATATGGATGCCCCCATACCCACCTACCTAGGTAGTACCCGACCTATTAGCTAATCATTCAAGATGTGGCTTGAAGAGAAGTGTAAAATTTCGACACTCGAATCAGAGCCTCAAAATGTTAAATTGTTAACCTTACGAAGTACACGGGCCACAAATCGCTTCTCCCTGCATCAAAACTTTTGATCACATCTCCTGACCAAGACATATGAAAATATACATGACCACAACACATTCGTTATTATTTCTTGGAATTTGACTTTGTATACAGTCGATACCACAATATACAAGAGAAATAAGCCAAAAATGGCCTCAACATCCAATTCCGATAGAGCACCTCCATCCTCCGTCATGGATGCAGTTCTCGTCCCTTCAAATGAAATGCCAGTCAATGCGCAAAAAGTCGAAGAGCTTGACTTTAACAAATTTGCGCGTCGCCCGATTACCGTTGATGATCTGTTGAGTGGTATGAATAATATGGGCTTTCAAGCAAGTTCCATTGGTGAAGCTGTTCGAATAATTAATGATATGGTACGTGAATCTTCTCCTCATCATTAGTACAAAACCTAACACTATCAGCGTGCATGGCGTGGTCAAGAACCAACAGATCGTACCACCATTTTCCTTGGTTACACTTCGAATTTGATCTCAAGTGGACTTCGAGGTACTCTTCGCTATCTCGTTCAACATCGTCATATTTCTGCAATCGTCACTACTGCCGGTGGTGTCGAAGAAGATATCATTAAATGTCTTGGTCCCACTTACATGGGCTCATTCTCTACTCCTGGAGCTGAGCTACGTGCCAAAGGTCAAAACCGTATTGGAAATCTCATTGTTCCCAATAACAACTACTGCGCGTTTGAAGATTGGGTAATGCCCATTCTCGATACCATGCTTGCTGAGCAGGAGGAATCAAAGAAAGATCCCGACACAGACAACCACATCCACTGGACACCCAGTAAAATCATCAGAAGATTGGGCAAAGAGATCAATAATGAAGAGTCACTACTTTACTGGGCTTACAAAAATGACATTCCCATTTTCTGCCCAGCACTTACCGATGGTTCCTTGGGCGATATGCTTTACTTCCACACTTTCAAATCCTCTCCAGCTCAACTCCGCGTGGATCTCGTTGAAGATATCCGTAAGATAAACACTATGGCTGTACGAGCCAAACGAGCAGGAATGATTATTCTAGGTGGAGGTGTAGTCAAACATCACATTGCGAATGCCTGCTTGATGAGAAACGGGGCCGAGAGCGCAGTTTACATCAATACTGCGCAAGAGTTCGATGGAAGTGATGCTGGAGCAAGACCTGATGAAGCAGTTAGTTGGGGAAAGATCAAGGTTGGAGCGGATAGTGTCAAAGTTTATGTTGAAGCAACCGCCTGTTTCCCACTGATAGTGGCAGGTACCTTTGCAAAGGATCAAGAGAAGAGTGCATGTCAAATAACTTCAATACCCTCTGAAAATCAAGAATAGAATTACGATTGCAAACTGATACCTCTCCATACCCGTGACTCATGTATATGATAGACTATTTCTTAGCTAAGGATTGGAATTTAATGGCCATATCAATTTATGCTGTCGACTTATATTTCATTCCCAATACTCGAATTGTGCAACGGCCTCTACAGAGTAGTTCCTTTCCATGCTTACATGATTTCCACTCCCGGAAAGAATATTCACCCATACTTTCAATGGTAGGTTGGCGAATAGAGTATTATCCACACCTCCTTCCGTTTCAAGAATCCAAGAATGAATAATAAAAGGCAACAGCCATCATACCTAACATATCCCGATCTCCGCGGTAAGAGCAAGCTTCTCTTTGAAAAATGAGCAGTGAGTAGTAAAATTTGACTTTTGAGAGTCATCTACATCGTCGCGGTCTCTACCATCGCGTTTGTGATACTTTACGTGAGAAATCAAGTCAAACTTTTCCTTCTCGGCGTATTGAATATTTCCACTTTCATGTGAACCTTGATTCTGCAGGTGTTTTATCAATACGATGATAATGAATGGCACATGATGATTGAGCTACCTACACAAACTTACTACCCATCGCTCAATTGACTACAGATATTTTATAATCTTGCTGAGAGGAAAATGAGCTTTTTTGTTCATTATTGGGGTTAATAATAAGTTGAGCATAAGTATTGGTTTTGTGGTTGTAGAGATGGTCTAGAATGGAGTGATTGATATCAATGGAGAGAATGAGGAGTGAATTTAGAGGTTTGATTTTTTATTCTTGTTGATTATGGTGGGATTTATTTGTTTAAATGTAATTGGAGATTATGGTGACTTTTGGATGAAGGGGTTGAGAAGTTGAGAGATAGGTAGATAAGTGTTTAATTTGTTGTGATGTATTTTGGTGTGGATTGCGGGGGGCATGGAGAAGTATCATAGATCCCTAGATGTTCTTTGTTATCACCTTACTCACTTCAGTAGTAGAAGGTGTAAGTGAGAAGCATTAATGTATCATTGGTAAGTGTTGATAGTATATCGTCTGAAAATCAAGAAAAGGCAATGACAAGGCTTCCTGCGCCGTTGAATTCATAGTAGAGCAGATTACATAGAATCAGATAAAACATTGCGAGTGGTTTACCGATGGAACCTCTGTGAAGCAATGTGGGTATAACAATCCAAGCTTAGAATCACATTCAATCAATCACAATGAAGTCAATGTTTAAGGATAATGAGTTAAAAATAACCTACATCACTTGGTTTGCAAAACCCTCATCATCCCTCCATAAACTAACCTCGACTGACCTAAAAGCCAGAACAGAGCCAAAGTCAAACTGCGCCACTCGCACAAGCAAGCAAGAAGAATGGACCCGTCCTTCACAATATCCGCCACGTATCAGAACTCCACTGTTACTCTCAACATGTATCAACGACTGACCGGGAAGCAGCACGATGTATTGAGAAAGAATCCCGCGTCTCAAGCACCCATGATATCCGAAGCGAACTTGCACATCATATACCTTGAGAACACGCACGTCGCATATAGTGTAAAGACCAACCCAATCACCAAACGCAAGAATGACAAAAACCCAACGCCACATTATCCAATCCAATCCAAGCCACCATATCCAAGCCGAAACAGCTTAGAACTCCTTCTCTATGGTTGAGATTGTGTTTGCTTTGATTTGATGCGAGCAGCGCGAGGTTTTTTCTCGACAACGGCCAACTCAGCTGGGATTCCCTCGGCTGCTAGTGGAACACCGATTGCATCAAATTTAACGTCGAGCTCCTTTCTGGCACGAGGCTTGTACGCCTTTTGCCGGTAAATTTGGCGCTCTTCCTCAGCCTTGGCTTCTCTAGCTGCCTTTCTCTCCTCTGCAGTCATTGGGACCTTGGCTGCAGCAGACTTTTGCTTTTTGGCAGAGCTCTTGTTTGCTCTTTGGCGGGGCTTTTTAGCGAGAGGTGTAGCAGTGCTACTATTGGCATTCTCGGCTCCCCGCTTCCTTTTGGCAACACCGTGCTTGAGTGGTCGAGAGACAGCTTCTTGACTGGACCTGCTCTTTGAGTCATCCGATTCGGTAAGCGTTTCAGGGGGCGATAGTGGTTTAGTAGGGTTTGGTGGTGTTGGCTCTGGCGTAGGTGATTCGCGATAATCAATAGTTGCATCAGAGCTAACTGCGTCGTCTTCATCATCAGATGGAGGGACCTCTGGTCTTTGGCGTACTTCCTCGATCCAAACAGCCTCCTCATCGGTTACACGTTTGTTGACCAGTACCAACAAGATCTCGGCGGCTTCAACTAGATCAGCTGGCAATGGGTTAGGAACTTCTACCTCCGTCTTGTTGGTATCTGACTCCATTTTGGGAAGAATCAATGCTCAGTGTTGAGTTCGAGGATCTACAATACAAGGAATGTCAGCCTGTATTAAACAATCAGATGGTTTAAGAGACTAGATCATAGGCCAACAGTAAAAGACATCTTGGTTTCTCTAGTCTCGTCTACATCGATGTATCAGCGTATTCCAAAGAATCTACAACTATGGAAATGATGATTAATTCAATATAATCGACTGCATCGGCTAACGAGATACTCTGCGGTGACAGACTGATTTGAGAATCTTCACTGTTCCGAAAGATGTAGGTGGACCTTTTAAGACAACTCGCTTATCTCAATGATACTAAATAGCAATGAATGTATCAATGCGTCGATAGGCTCGAATGATATCAATTTTCCAACGAAACTGAGAATTAGATGTCTTTCGTTGTTGGGATTACAGTAAGGGTTGTAAGGTCAGTGATAGATAGGAGTACCATACTTTGCTTCTATCTGAAGACAAGAGACAATACTAGCAAGGGTGGGTGGAATTGCACTCATACGACAAAATTTTAACGAGAGGGGTAGATTTTGACCACGTACTTTGTTGTGATTTGATGATCTATCTGTTGCAGTTGTGGAAGTAAAATTGTGTCGTGTTCGCAAATTTCATTGGAAAGATGAAATCAAGGGGGCTTCCAATTCTTTATATACAGATATGAGAAATTGAAATAACTTGTTCTTACGGTAGATACGGCGATCATCAAGCCATTGGTATCTAGCTCTATTCATGGTATCGTGTGTACTATAGTCGAAGCTTAACACTTTTAGCTCCAGGTGAAATGCTATATTATTACTAACTTTTCATTGATCAAGATAAATTCTAATGGACTAAACGGAACGATCATGTCACGGTCGTTGAATGGCTATTATTTGATTCAACAGAGTAAATCCCTTCGTCATTGAATGAATATTACATGATGTATACCTAGGTATGTTAACTTCGAACTTTAAAGTTCAGTTGGGATCCATCATATAATATATATGTCGTTAGTACTATTTCATATTCCATCATTGACATTACGGGTGGAGGTTCCAAAGAATTATAGATGTGTATGCCCCGACAGTGTATTTCAATGTGATGGTTATTTCCTCACCTCATATGATGAATGGCGTCTGTATGGATCGATTCGGATTGCGTGAGAACCACAGATTTACGAGCCACTGTGATATACCGATTACATTGCAATCTACCCGAGTACAATTGAAGGTTGCCGAAATTTTGCTTGACAGTCAATCATTCCAATCCTATTCATCTCTCCTTCCATTCTAATTGTTGAACTCGTCCCACCACTCACCATGGCAGTCCAGATGTTCCAGAACATTATGATTTATCATACGAAATGAACTCGAAGAACGAGGAATAAATCTATAATCCTTCAAGCTCAATAATTTTGGGAAACATCAGGGACTGAAAATATCATCCGCTTTGAAGACCTTTACAATCGTATGCCTGTCTTGTGTAGATTACTGATTCTTTTGATTCTACTATTATCATCATATTCGCACCTTCTCTTTGCTGGTCAATAAGCTCAGGAGTTGTAAGGAAGACACGCTCAACTAATAGTAATCTTGTTTGTATGATGATTTTATCTCGTTCCATCACTACACTTCAAAGTTTCATGGACAGCTCACTGAAACAAGTAATAATTTGACATGGGAAGACTTCATGGTATTTGGGGAATGACAGTGGAAGATTCAGGTTTTTATCAGCAACACAAGATACTCGAATCATGAGCGACTACCTGTCCTCAAGGGACATATTTCACTGAAAAAATAGATAAATTGTATGCCTTCGAAGACCCATGTCCCTTCTGAACCATATCCATCAGAATTTTTATAGACATACAAGAGCTAAGAATACTAAGAAATTTAATCAAATTAAGCGGGGTGCTAGTCAAGATCGTCATGTTGAAAATCATACCAAAATACTGACTAAGAGGTAAAATTAATCGATATTATTGAGTTGTTCAAACCTCGATTATATTTACAACACTTTGGAGTAACAGATAATAGTTGGAACAACTTCAAAAAGATATTTCATCTCATTGCTATGCATGTAAGAACAATTGAAACTCGATTTTGATGTGCTCGCCCCTAAGCAGAGCCTCCTCGCTAATGTTTGAGTTTATTTTGACGTCGGTAATCTCAACCAATCGTTCAGCATGCTCCATAATTCAATTAGACGAACATGCATATGAATTTTGAGCTAAAATTGAAATGGAATAGGAGAGTGGTAGAGACACGTGCTTTCCTTTCCCCAAATAACCTCCCCGTCCACACAGAGAGGCATTTGGCAACTCAATAATATTCCTTTGAATGCCTATAATTTCGAGATACCATTGGAAAACAATACTAAACGAGGTTGGTATCATAACGGGAAATTGGGCAAGGAATATTCAAACTTTTATGGATTTTCCCCCGGATTTCCAAATGGACTGAGGGTCCACTGTCGTTTCCCAAAGTAGAAAATAACTTTAGTCTATGATAGTTCCTTGGCAAGAGAAAGTCAAGAATCACGTGTGGCAGTTCATATAGAAATATGACCAGGATGCATATGGGGACTCCGCGTAAATTTCCTCGATTCGGTGAACCATATTGGGCGATAACTTCTGCACTTCCATTACTGAATCCTGAAATGATGGTCCCATTGAGGAAAAATGCATGTGCTCTCAATCTAGGTGTCGTTCAGGTCTTTGGGAGACAAAAGTCAGGAAGACCCCATTCTTATTCTAATCGTCGCAATTCGACAGGATGGTGCGAGACGAGGAGACCTCAGAGTGGGAAGACCTTGGACCTTTAATATTGATGTGCTATCGCTTACATTGAGCCACTACAGGTAAATGGAAACAAATCGTCGAATTATATCTTTGAAAGTCGAAATTTCTCAACACCTCTCCTGTAGAAGAGAAGAGAAACTACATCCTAGGTACTATCTAAAAGAGGCTCCTACAAATATAGAGTAAGAGCGCGGTCTTGAAATCTCAAGCGACAGAAACATGAAACGTTCCCCTCTTCAAAGAAGAAGATGTATCCAACTAGCTTTTGAAGATAAACGACCACGGGTACATAGAATAATATGATTAAAATGATATACGAACTGACAAAGGAGTCATTTCAGAGTGTTTTGAGAAGATATCCAACTTCTATCCAACAATAGTGTATTCAACTTGAGCGAACACACACTTGTCGTTTTTACGCTCTCGATAACACGATTTGATATGCCTTCTATTTTGTATTATTTTCACTTGATTCGAGGCATTACACATTATCGCCTTGGATTTTCTATGTGCCGGAATTGCACCGTGAATTCCTATAAAGTTGAGACTCCTTGCTCTCTCTGTGGGCTATAAACTTTTCCCACCAATTTCACCATGTTTATTGTTCGACATCCACCCTTTTCTCATATCAATAGTATCTATTATCATAAAATTCATCATATTAATCTACCTACCTATATAAAAGCTCTCGGTGTTATCCTTTCCTATACTATCCCCCTCCCTCTTTCGTTGCCATTTATACCTCGATGCCAAATATTTACCCCTCGACTTGACGACATTATCATGGTATCCTTGTCTCTCCCAAGTCCACTTTCCAAAAGAATCCTCAATCTCCAGACAATTAGTTGACCAACAACACTTACTCAACGTCTCGATTTAGCAGCTGACAAACTTTAACTAATCAACCACCACAGTTTATCCTCGTCGTACGGTTTCGATACACTCTAGAAGGCTCCTTCGCCGCTTTGCGACAACTCCCTCCTTTCTGCAAGTCTCCAATAAGTCGACGTGACGTTTTTGGAGATGAAAGGCCAGTGCGACAAATTCGTTTCTACCCATTCATTCCAAATCTACACAAGAAATGGATTCGCCGGCGATTATCAGAATGAATCAGGTTCTACTGGTTCTACCGAATCATAACGATGGAACGAGCAGATACAAGATCTCAGCATGCCAAACCTCGCAGATGAGACTCCTTCAGAGGCTGGTGAGCAAGCCGAATATGGAGCCGTCGACTATGAAACACAGGCGCTACGAGATTGCTACCCTTAACAGATCCTAGCGACAAGCCTAATCTACCACATAGACACTTCATGCAGCATCTCAACTCTGGATCCAGGATTGAGCTCAGTGCCCATAAACTATAAGATCGCAGGAAGCCAATAACTTGCAAAGAGTTCCTCGACTAAGAATCCTATCAGGCCAGTCTTTTGCAGGGTTTTGTTCTCAAGCACCGCAAAGATATACATACAAACTAATAAACTACAGATTTTTGTCGTATTAGTAACGAAGGATAGGTAGCATTCGTGTCAACAATCCGTCCCTGAGTTGGTGTCGACGACGAATTACATCTTGGAGAAATGCTTACTCGATACCTTCATGTAGATGTCCGATGACCTGAAACTCTATAACCTTCAGCTTGGAAATCCACAGATGAGAATGGTCGAGCTGGACAGTCTCTTTGAACCAGCTACAAATCTCTTCGGCATTCTAGAGTCATTTTCCTCTGCCCACTTTCGTCAAAAAGAAACAATGAGGAAATGGTAAAGGACAATGGTGAATTATGAGAGAAGTTGGTGGCAGGACAACAACAGAGCAACAGAAATGACCTACGTCAAGACGAGAACCTTGACAGGACAATAAATACAAAATAGGGGTATGGTTAGTATGGAGATTGGTATGACAGGCTGACGAGAACAGCGGATCAATGAGCGTAGTGGAATGATGGGATTTGTCAAGCAACTACCATTGCAAGACGTTTTCTATATCTTAGAAGAATGGTAACCGCCAGTTGATTATGATTCATGGAAGAATCATAGCAGTCCCCATGAATCCTTCTTTGGAGTAGGCATACTGACATTCCCGATATAGATACAGTATCCCCTTGGTATTCTCGACACTCAGCTTATCGGCAAGTCAACATAGTGGCAATTACTTTTTAACCCCTCCATCCTTCCACAAATGATATCAGGCACATTCGGCAACTTCACATATTCAATACTACTTGGAATTCACTGAAATATTGGAATCTGACATGGAATACTCATTCTGCTCTAGGATTGCATTAAGTATAGAACCTAACATTTGAATGAGACTGAGTATTTTACATCAGTTTCCCATATTTCAGCACATCTTGGTACGTATTGGATATGGCAATATGCAATGAAGCGAATGTGCCTCCAATCATCTGTATGAGAGTGGTGAGACGGCTCATAACCAGTCACAATACCGCTGATGTAGACTGGCTATTGTTCGAGCAAGAAGATTCACCATTTCTATTGACCTTGATTCCCAGCCTTGACGACTTGATCTCATCCCATAAGTAGTGAGAAAAGTTCGATGTGACTTCGCTCTCATGAGACACCAGTCCTATCTATCATGAGTACGATGTAAGCTCTCGCAAATCCCCCCCCCCCCTCCAAATAGCATATCTTCCTAATTTGAAGCAATTCCAATTTTTAGTCACCATGGTAGTTACTCACAAAAATGTAGTGTTGTAAAACCAAATGAGCCTCATCGGCACAATCCACACACTGATGCTCTGGCTCTTCCTGATTCTCGAAAGAGAATGGAAGTTACTCGTTACTACTAACAAGATAGCCATCCTGGAGGCCATCGATCGAGGATGTTGTGCCATCCCTTATATCCCAGTCAGACTTACACATCTGATGTTCCCGTCTTAATATAGTTAGGCCGTGCTTCGTATTCGCTTCTCGTCTGCCAACCCCTTTATATAATTTGCATTATCGAATGGTATTCGAGTTCTTTCCGGTACAGGTACTGCGGTTCACCTCATAAGTATTGTCTCGTGGGTAATTACTTATGTTCCTCAACTCCTCCTTCTTTTATATCCATTTAGTATGACTCAACAACGACTTTGATTGACGGCCAACCCAAGCGATTCTATGATACAGCCATTAGCACAGTCATCAGCAAAGCCCCCCTTTTCTCTTGCTCTCCCATTTTATGGAGCATTCCTCTCCGGAACTCAAGACTTCTAACATGGATATTTGATATCGTGTGTCATTTTTTCACAAGAATTCTTTCAATGTGTCTTCAGTATCTAGGGTAATTTATACTATGTGATATTTATAGACTCACGGGGTGTAATTACACAATGTCCGCATGACTTCTCATAGATTAGGTCTATGATAAAAAGACTTGAAGTGATAAACCTTTGCAATAACAAGTTCACCCTTTCGAAATTGGAATCCACACATGACGAATGGATTTTAGCCTTCTAGGTGATCATCTACAGAAGAAGGTGCTAGCCTAAATAGGCATACAATGTATGATTAGATCGATGCCAGAGCCCTAAGGGGTATGGTTGGCATAATGGTAGCCAGTCTTCTATAACAAGATCCAATTTTCTTCTACCTCTTGAACTTTGAGTACGTGATGTCAATATTTTTAAGGGGAGGGGTGAAGACTTAAGGTTCTCTGACAGATTGTAGATCGTCCAAGTGTGGGCTTGGAAGATGCTTGAAAGATGTCCGGTAGGTAGACTAAACATCCACCGGTGTGACACGTGGAGAAAACTTGAAATCGTTTCTCGATATCTATATAGAAATTATCTGTCTGTCGATCTTTGAGACTGGGTAGAGTAGAAGGAATTTATGTATCGGAACTGAAAACTGGGAAATTGCGTGTTGGGATTTTAGTATGTGATAGGTGATATTTGGGAAGTTGATGGATGTGGATGTGGATGTGGAAGGTTGAGGCGAGTGCGAGGATTTTTGGTGTGGAATTAGTTCATTGGGAGTGTGTGTGGGGGGGGATTGAAGGGGAATAGCTTGTTACTAAGTGATTGATTGATTGATTGATTGATTGATTGATTGGGAAGTTCTTGGATTTATGAATAGGGACGATTTATTTAGTTACTTATTGGTATGGATTCGAAATCTACTTGTACTTGGGTAGGTAGTATATTTTCTTGGTTGTGGGAAAGATGGGAATGATCTTGTACATGACGTTTGTGTGTGAAGGCTTGATGAAGGGGATAGTAAGAGATGGTTATTAGAAGAGTTAGTCATGAGTCAGGAGGAAAAGGAACTCGATAGATAGATCTGGATTCGGTGGATGTGGAATTGGAAATTGGAAGTTAATTTTCTTAGTGTATGTCAAGTGTATGTCAAGTGTGTGTCAAGTGTATGATGTATGATGTTTTGAATAGGATCTTGGATTAGTATGGATGATTGCATATATTTGAGGTTTGGACGATTGCTGGGTTTTTGTATGCTCATCTCTTCTTTTGGGATGGAATGAGATCAGATGAAAGTTCAACGCGGGTGTTGTGGATCTTGGAATTAGAGATGAGAGAGTGTGTTTCATCGACCTAATTACCACGTGAGATTTTGTGAGGTTGTGGTGGATAGTAGGTATTCGATTTGTGAACTTAGACTAGATATCTTCTTATTCTTCTCTTTGGCTGTCTATCTTATCATTTATCGATCTTGTATGAATGATGTATTTCAGATTTGGAGATTCAATGTAAAGTTTGGCAAATACTTCGTTGCGGAAATTAGATTACTTGATTTGTCTACTGTTGTACCTACCTAGTATCTAGCATTTCACATTTGAAATCTCGATATCTCAATCCAATACCTATGCATCCTCCACTCTTCCACTCCCCCTAAAACCAACTCATCACTACAGAATCAATAGAAACTCAAATTCAGTCATTCATCCATCCATTCCTCCTACATCCTCCCACTGCTCTCTAGCTCAATATACTACCAAGCGACTCTTACTTTAACCTACCCTACTTTACCCTACCTTACCCTACCTTACCCTACCTTACCCTACCTTACCTTACCTTACCATCCATCCGTCCACCCACTAGATATCCAAAAGCTCATTCAGATCTACTCCCTCAACCTCCTCAACCCGATATCTCATCTACCCAACCCAACACCAACACAGTATCCAACCCCAACAACCCCAACAAATCATCATTCATAACCTTCGCTTCGGAACCAATCTAAAAAAGTAAATCCTTCAACTTTGGTCTTTTCGACCTCCCCTAGCAACTCATTTATGACTGTGTTAGTATTTGATCATCGATATCTACTCACCTATCTCTCACCTACCAACCTACCAACCTACCTAGCTATCTACATATCTGAGTATCCAAGTTTCCAAGTGTCCAAGTTTCCAAGTATCTGAGTATCTAAATATCTAAATATCCGAGTATTAACAAGCTATCTCTTCATCCCAAACAATTCCTCTTCTTCCTCCGATAATCTATATACTAAACACTCACCAAGGTAGCCGAATCTCGTTTTTCGTCTTGCATCTCTCATTCTACTTCACCATCTTAACATATTCTCCCCCCCCCCCAAATCATCCCCACATTGTATCATCCCATCACCGTAATGCATACCAGGTAATCTCTCATCCAAGAAATGCTACCATGGACTCGAAGCAAACCATCATATGATAATATAGCAAACTGCAGTGCACAGAAATCCACCCTGTCCCTCCCTTCCTCCCTCCCTCGCGAGAAGAATGGGATTCAGGTAGATCTTCGAAACTACGAGATTGAGGTGTATAGAAAGGATAAATAAATCAACATCATTTCCAAGTATCATTTCTACATCCACATCCACACTTCGATTCCAGAAATCTAGTATCAGAGTCTAGGTATAATAGTATGATACATGATATTTGGACTCCGGTAATCTAGATGCGATAATATAAATTCCATCCATAATCTATCTACTAACCATTTACCTCCTCTCATTTTCATTTTCACTTTCCCTAGACGAAATAACAAGTGCAGGAAATGACTGATTAACTTACCAGATAGTTTGTTCATATACCTAGTTAAAGATCTCTATCTATTTACTACCTACCATCTCCTAGATACTCATCTATCAACATTTTCCCTCACTCCACCCATCCACCCGTAGCATCCTAAATACCCAGTCTATATTAGAATCTTCGCAGAGTTATCCATCTATCCAAACCAACCAATAACATAAATACAAAAGTAGATATTGTTCACCGGGTCCCTTGCGCGCAATACCGATAACGGAATGGAATGAGAGTTAGATGTGGAGAGTTGATGGTCTGTCTAGATTTTACATACTCGATGCGATGTTGAACTTACATCGCATATGTGTAGATATGGATATGGCTGTGCAAAAAGTATTGAAGAGATGAGTTGACCTTGTTAGGTACCTAGTTACTAGAGCCAATCTAGCAAATGAGCTGGAAGCAACAATTTTCCTACCTACTGTGACGGTAAACTCATCAATGGTGTTACTACCCAGACGAGGAGAAAGAACGTCGCAACCCCCCAAACAAGGCACCGCCTATCACGGCACCAACCATTTCATTCCCAAGAAATACCAAGTAAGATGCTTACAGCGTGACAATAACAACCATTGACGATCCCGGCGTCTGTCAATACGATACCTACTACTAGGTCGTACACACATAGCCGCGAAGCACAGCAAGTAAAGCAAAGCAAGTAAAGCAAAGCCGCAAACTCGAAATTCCAAGTTTGCGCACACGACATCATCGTTCACCGCACAGATCACCTCTTTCTCAAAGCTGCTGCTGATCGCACGAGGATCTTCTGTTCCAAAGGGTAGATAGACGGCTCGCGGCGAGCTCTCGAGTATCCCACGATGATCTATTCCCAGGTCGAGGGTTATCGTTGATGATGATATCTGGTGAGGGGTGCTCCACTCTTCCTGTTTCATGGCTGGTGGAAAAGTAAGTTGGACATCGAACTGTGAATTTTGTTGACGTACTCCAATTCATGTGATGAGAAAGCTCAAATTCTCAGATTCTCAGATTCGTAATCCTCACATCATTTGAAATTGCGAACCAAGAAGAGATTCTTTAGCGCATCACATGATCAAAAAGAGTACCGGCGAGAAAGGATAAGTGATGTAAGAGAACAAGGTATATGTGCAAGTTGGAAATGCTACAATAAATACCTACCTATCGGAACATTTTCTTCTCTCGTATATCCATGGTGATAATTCTTATCATTTCAGCCTTTTGACAACGGGATCTAGATAGTGATTCCGATTGGATAGTGTGATGAGGAGAATGAACTTCCAACTATTGAACCTGTTGGGATCTGGAAGGGTATTGAGAACACGATGAACTGACTTGAGTCAAAATTCTGAAAGTCTCATTTGACGGGATTGACATGTCTGGAAGCCAAGAAATTCATCCGGATAGTAGATTGCTTTTTTGACATGTTTTGAAGTATTATACGCTTCCAATTATATAACATAAATAGTAATCATCTCCAGACAATTGGAATCTTCGGACCCGATCTACTAATGTCTTGAAAAATGAAGGGTGTGTTTTGATTGTCTAGAAATCAATCATCGAATTGGAAATGAGCATTTCCTTTGAGAACGTCGGAAGGTTTCGTGGCTTCCTCGCAATCGATGGATTTCCTGTGAGTAAAGAAAAAGATTCAATATTAAAACCCAACTGGGTCAGGTAAAATAGGGGACTAGAAGCACACATCGTATCGTTGCGAACAGACCACATCATGTCCCTTTAGTATGTGAAAGTTTGATCATCATATCGGTTCGCCCCGCAGCAGATATTAACTGGATTGAGTATGATGGATCCTTTTTGAAAAAGGGGTTCGTGATCCAGGTCGAATCACATCTTTGCGGTGAGGCGTGGTGTTTCCTTCCGTGACGTTTCATTGGTCGTGTTTTAGGAAACAATGTAAAAGGCTATGCGTGGGCCTCGAACATTGGGGATTCGTTCTTTTGGTGATTTTGTTTTCTTTCTGGAATTGGGAAATTGTTTGGTACTGGAACTGTGAGATGATATATTCCGAAATGAGCATTGCGGTTCTTCGTATTCTAGAAGGTAAAGAAAACCGGCAGAGTGGATTGTGTAAAGGAACTAAGAAGTGTCATTTGGAGGGGAGGGGATATTGAGCTGGTATAATTTGTAAGACGTGGGACGGTGAGATGGGGGGTTTGAGTTTGAGGGAACATGAGGGTGGAGGTTGGAGGTGCAGACAGAAGAAGGGTGACTGTGATTTGTGATTGTCGGTGGTTAGTTGAGTCGTTTTGATAGTTGTAACTTATGAGAACTTGATATAACAGAAAACGTGGAGTGATAAGTGCTGAGTAACGAGTAACGAGTGAAGACTGAAGACTGAATAAGTGAAGATTCAATATCGTTCGTTGCTATAGAGGTTCGGGATATTTTGTTTTGATTTGACTTTACGAGTCCAGTCCCGAGTAGTGTACGAAGTGATAAAATAAGTTTTTATGCTTTCCAATTGTGTATGTTGGAGGCGTAGAACTACCCTGCTCCAATAGATTGTAATTGGATGAACTCTATACCCAATACGGGAGGAAGAAGGAAAAGAAAGGAAAAAGAAGGCGATGAAGTCTACGAAGTAGGTACAGAGTCTACGAGAAATGGATTTCTACAACTTCCATGAAATTTCCCAAAAGATGTATGGAGGAGTAGGTATGGATACTTTTGATTAATCTATCAAGATTGAGGTTACCCCATCTGGGTACTTTGGACTTTGGTACGGAAGTATTCTATGGTGGAATCCACGAAATCCACTTCCCGGTAATTGTCTCTCATCCATGACTTGCATCTCAGGAGCATCTAGGGAGCATCTCGAAGGACATACTCTGAGTGTTGGTACAAGGTATACTTCCTGGTAGGTACTCCATACGGTACTCCCATTCCACATTACCGTTACCGTTACCGAATCACGAAAATGTATCGACTTATGATATGATATATCTGATCTAGTGAGATGCAGAGTGATTTACTTTGGATTTCCTCTGGAGTTACTCCGGGTTTGTATCGTTTATAAATTGCATATGTGTAGATACCTGGGTATACATACATACATACATACATACATACATACATAAAGGCTCCTAGGTATTCTCAAACCTTTCCACCCAAGTAGATATATTCAGATGTCACGAATTATATGAATTGATGTAGGCACTCCGTACCGCTTCTCATGTACGAAGTATATGAGATGTAAATCTGCACTGATCAACATATGGTGAACCAACTGCAGGAAGCGCACCATCACTGCAGAAACCTGTTCCACACGAACCAATCAACACTCGATGATGCATGGATGGATAGAATTGTGATTGTATTTGATTTTATTTTGATAGTGATAGTTAGTGTTTGAAATGGAAATGTACGCCGTACGCAGGATGGAGATGTATATTTTGGGGGTTTCAATTGATATTTCTCGACTCTCCAAGTGCTAACTAACGAGTATATGTTTATATGAATGTATATTGCTCAGGGTCCAATACAAGGAGGACATCCTCAGACCTCAATATCTATCGTTCATGGGTTCATTCGCTATCAATCAACTACCTTACCTACCCGGCACTCTAAGATATCATGCTTCACAACATCCCATCTCAAACTCAAACTCAACATAATCGATAATCGGAACCACCCCAAGTTCCCATGTACTACATTCAAATCCCAAGTAAATCGAGTTCGGTTCCTTACCTTTGGTTTGATGGAGTACACACCCGAGAAATACCCTAAAGTCATTTCTTGTCCTGCCCTTTTAGATCTTCTTCGTTCCGTCCATCTTATCTTAATCGGGTATTGGATGCAGATAATATACATCAGAGAAATTGTATTGATCAAGCTGATGGGGGTCACGGGATGTGTGAATGAGTAATGGCAAGGAAAGTTTAAAATAGAAAAATCAAAAGAAATTTCAACATTCTCTAGGAAAAGAAATTCGAATGGCTTGTATTGAAGATACGAGCTAGAACTAATGACGAAAGTCACTACAATATAGGTCGGCAGGTAGAGAGGTGGTGGAAAAGGAAATGGAAAAGTATATTTATTGATAGTTATTGTTATTGTCATTGAATTAGTGATTTTTATTTGGCCTTTCTTTTCGATAAAAATCATCATTACCACAGTTCAAGTTCACAGCAATTCTTCATGGATTGCTTCCCCTTATAAAATCACATACAAAAAAGAAAAGATTCCGAAGAGACTCCTTTTTTAAAATTGTATTATTAAACCGAAACATTGGATCCTATTATCTATTTTCCTATCTCTCTCTCTCTCTCTACCTACCTTCCTACCGACCTGCCTACCGATCTAGGTCCTGATCAATAATCAATATCTAGATATCGACTACCTCAACTCGAAACCTCTTTCATAATCCCCTTTCCTCTTCCGCATCTCCATCACCTCCCCCTCCCCTTTCTCCCCCCTTCCCCTTCAATTTTGTGATGATTGGAAGCGAGTCTCCCTAGGTATGTATGTATGATATATGTAACTCATATCTTGTATCTGTCTGTGTGTGTGTGTGTACGGTACTTTATACCATCACAGTCGTAAGTACTAGGTAGATATTGTGGATGGTGATGGTTTAAGTGCCTAGTAATCTAAACTAACCTTATTCAAGATTAGCTTCATTAAGGAGTTACTTTCTGGCTTCTCTTCCCAGGTTTAATAAAATCATTAAAGCAGATTTCTCCCCTTCCATCATTTCACCACCTCGAAGAAAGTCTCTCCTCTCTCCTCTCCTCTCTGCTCTTCCATTCTTCATTCCTCCTCGATTCTCCTCCCACCCACCCGCGTCAAGTATTAACATCTTCTTGATACTTTGTCTATTCGAAGTCGAGTCTCTTTTCTTCAATATAATGTCAAAGTCGTCACTTTATTTATCCCTCATTCCACAATAGAAAATAGGTCAATTTCACAATCTCCCAATTAACTTCTGGTCGCAATCTCCCCACAGCAAGGAGATCGAACACACACTCCCCCCCCCCCCAGTACAAAATACCTATCATCAGAGTTATTATTCAATTCAACCACCCACCCACATCCAAAAATAATTTAAATACAACTACAACTACAACTTAAATATCTTTAAAAACTCGATCGATCAAAGTCGATTATCTTATACACTCATCCCGCGAACATCTATTCATCTCGATTTGGTGTGAGAACTTCATCGTCCGAAAGCTCTTTTTTTTGGCTCAAAATCTTTGGGGGTACTATTGTGCGAACACACTTCGGACTAAAGCTTTGACAAGCGTGCCCACCGGCTTCTTGCATCGCAACAAACTTTTCTTTTCTCTTTCTTAACGTCAAGAATATCTGCCTCTCATGATGAGTCAACAGTATTCCGAGATCTTCCAGGATTATCCTCCAAATCGATCGCCAGCGACCAGTCGAGGAGCTTATGGCAATATGACGCTTAATCGCCAATCATCGCGACAATTTATGGACAATTATCAAGCACCTCTTCAAAATGGAGGAGGACTTTACGCTTCTGACGACGCATCACAATACAACGGAAATCAAGCCGCTTACAGAGGTCCTTCCAACAACGTGAATTATGCCTACGAAAGTCAGACTTGGAACTATGGAGGTGCGAATGGCGCTAGCACAATGGGCACAGCAGGCCGTATGAGACCTCAACAACAACAAGCTCGCAGAGCTGAAATCCCATCTGTATGTTACCCCTTAATCATTTACGAATTGAATATTGCGCGCCCCTAAAGATTAAACTGACACTTGGTAGGGTTGGATGAATCCAGGTACTCCATCCCTCGGCGGTCCAATCACCCAAACGTCCTTACAACAGCATAACTTGTCTGGCATGTTTGAACAACCTCAGCATTCCCATCGTTCACCCCCACCACCAAATCAGCAAAGTGACCACGAAGAGCTAATCCCAACCGCTATCGTCATTAAAAATATTCCTTTTGCGGTGAAGAAAGAACAACTGACAGAAATGATGTCTAACATGGGATTGCCATTGCCATATGCCTTTAACTATCACTTTGATAATGGGGTTTTCAGGGGTTTAGCATTCGCTAACTTTACTGATGCTCGCGAAACGCAACAAGTCATCGATGCCTTGAACCACATGGACTTGCAAGGACGAAAGCTCCGAGTAGAGTACAAGAAGATGCTTCCCGCTGCAGAGCGCGATCGAATCGAACGCGATAAGAGAGAAAGACGCGGTCAGCTTGAAGAGCAACATCGCGCACCAAATGTCATGTCCACTGGCTCCCTTCATACCGCAGGATCCATGACTTCCATGAATTCCGGCCTGAGAACTACATCCCCTTCACCTGTAAACATGCGTCAGAATGTTGCCACCACTAATGGTACCGCTGGTCAGTGCTGATTCTTTCTTCTCGCGCACAAACTACTGAACTAACATTCTTGCAGCAGAGTACGATTTGAATGATCCAACGACATTGAACTATTACACCGAGCTACTCTTCTTCAAACAAGATGCCGAAAGAGAAGTTTTGACATTCGCGCCTACAGTTTCTCCTGCGGACCGAAGAATAATCCACACCTTGGCTCACAACATGGGATTAGATCACCATTCCCAAGGACATGGCGAACTTCGTCAAGTACAAATTGTCAAGCCCAAGCTTGCCAGCCCACCTTTGAACTCAATCCAAGCTGGATATTATAACGAATCCCAACGTCGTGGACTCAACCGAGCTGCGACGATCGATTTTAGTGAGCAGCGAGCCAATGACGCCGCCTACCAAATGCACACGCTGGGCCGACAAGGTTCCGGTCTCCTGGATATCCCAGGTTCTCCAGGGGTACGTGATCTACTTAGTGGTGATCGTAATTTACGAACCGCCAAATCGTTTGCGGACTTGCGCTCTTACACGCCATCGCCTGTACCATCGTCGGCGAGCTTCCCAGCTAATATGACCCAGAACATTGCCAGATTCCAAGGCAACGATTATGGTCTTGGATCAGTTACCGGTGGAACTCCCAACTTGACTCCTACGTCCGCAGGACCCTTAGGTCTCAGAGAGGATGCATTCCTTGCCAACGGCATGAGCAACATGTCACTTGGATACGATCGTCAACCCCGTTCGAACGCGCCCGGACGCATTGGTCAGGAAAGAGATAGCTACACATCAAACGCTGGTCCTATTGGAAGCCAGCGTCCAGTCAATGGAAGCCTCGAAGATAGCAGCTCCAGAAATGGACAAAGTGCAGTTCCAGAGAGACAACCAAGGGGCCCTACAAGTGACCAATGGGGATCAGGATTCTCCCGCAACAGACAAAATGGTCATGGTAGCAAAAGCAGTGATGGTAAGTCGTCTTGATCTATACTGAAAAATTCTAGCTAACCGAATGTCAGATTCATCTGAGCGAAACGGATTCACCTCTGCATCTCGGTTCATGTAATACTCCCCAAGAGATTTACGACGTTACGAACTTTAGAGCTTTTGACGCGATATATTCCTACCCGTTATAACGTCAAATTACGGGCAGCGGCGTTTAGTTGTCATCCCCTTCCCCTCAGCGGAAACACGTTCACTTCCATGCGATCTTTTTCAGAGCTTCTGATGTGCCTAAAAATAGGCTCGTCAAGCTCGGCTCTTGTTACTGTAATTACATTTGTGACCTCGATCTCCCATTTGGGAGCCCCCTGAGCTTTAGACCTCTTCTTGCTCGCGGTATATACAAATTTTGCTTAATACTATCACCGATTGGCTTCCGCGAACGACGACATATAACGAAACAACTAGGATACCATTAAATCGACTGGGCAACCTTGACGATAACGCTACTATGACCTCCTTTCGGTATCCATCAAAACTAGGATCCGGATTATTTTAACGTCTTTGGACAATGAATCCGATAATAATAGGGGCTCGCCACACCCCTTTTCTACCCACGATTGACGACCGTAACGTCCTATCATGCTATAAAATTATAAAAATTACCTTGGTCTGATATTCCAGATATCGACTCAAACCAACATCGATGCCTACTCGCTGGTTCTCGAGTTGAATTTCTAGGGCTGATTGAGGAATACAAAATCATTGTACTTTAATTGTTTACTGCTCCTCTAGGTCATCGAAGTTTGAAAATTCTTGTACTGTTGTTGCTGGGACTATTAGTTTCAGAAGGGGGGCTTGAAGGCCATATGTGCATGTTTGATTTCAGGGTGTGTTGGGTTCTGACGCTTATTGGATGAGACATGGAGTAGGGCTTCAATGCACCCTTTTGCGCTTGAATTTGTGCTGCAATTGATATTATCATGTTATCACGGCGTCTGGTGGTGGGGAAATAATAGGATATAGGGAAAACAATCGCTCATCGCCTACTTTGTTTCATGATCATATGCTTTGTGACTATTTGTGATTCTCTACTTGATATGTTCCTGTCCTGAGTTGTTCTATCAGCCGAATTGTAACTATCTTCTTGACAATACAGATCCCGATTGTTTACTGACTGTTTACTGACCCTCACCGCCATTTCGATACCACTCGGGCCGGGACTTCCGTACGGAAGGTTACTTTGCATCCGAGCCTCTTGGCTTGATATACCTACAGATGTTGAACAGCAGAAAGTTGAAACATTCCCACGTGGTTCAAGGATGTTATCGTTGATGGATGGGGATTGGTAGAACACTTGAGATGTGAATTCTAGATAGGGCGAAAGTGTAGATGAGAGAGTACTATGTTGATTGGATGCGATGAGATGTGCTTCGTGAATCAGATTGGGGAACGAATCTAGAATGAAAGTTGAAGTGAAGATGGAGATAGATAGTTATTAGTTGGTTGGCCTGTTGATATGAATCTTGATTGGTTGTTGGAGCTCATTGGCATTGGAGGTTTCTCATCTAATCTCATGTTTTGAGTGTGAATATTATGTAAGCTTGAGCTCACCCTAGCTCCATGGAAATTCCGTCAGAAGTCAAATTATTGATCGACATCTTTCCATCATCACATCCAACACATCTCACAAGGCCTCATTAATTTGTCGGACTTGCTCCTTCGTATAACTCACCATGTCATCACTCTATAATCTCGAACCTCAACCTACTGCATCATGCATTCTACACACCACCTCTGGCGACATCTCTCTCGAGCTCTGGGCGCAACAAATTCCCCTCGCATCTCGTAATTTCCTGCAACACTGCCTCGATGGCTATTACGATAATACGGTATTTCATCGACTTGTCCCGGGCTTTATTCTACAAGGTGGTGATCCTACAGGTACTGGATCTGGTGGGGAATCGATATACGATGGCGGCGAATTTTCTGAAGAAAATGGCGTATGGCCAATGGAAGAGCGAAAAGGTCAAAATGCGGGACCGAGAGGAGTAGGCTTCAAGGATGAGTTTCATAGCAGGATAAAATATAATAGGAGAGGATTGTTGGGGATGGCTAATGAAGGGAAAGATACGAATGGGAGTCAGTTCTTTTTGACTCTAGGAGATACGCCTGAGTTGACGGGGAAGAATACGTTATTTGGAAGGGTAGAGGGCGAGACGATATATAATTTGGCGAGGATGGGGGAAGCGGAGTGTGGAGATGGAGAGAGACCGTTATATCCTACGAAGATTACGGGGGTGGAAGTGTTGGTCAATCCGTTCAAAGATATGGTTAGGAGGGAGAGGGTTGCAAAAATTGCGGTTCCCGAGAAAAAAGCTCCAGAAAAGAAAAAGAAGAGGAAAGCTGGGAAACAGTTGTTAAGTTTTGGAGATGATGGGGAGGAAGTTGTTGAACAACCAGTCGTCAAGAAAAAAGCGAAATTTGACACGAGGATTGTAATGGATGATGGAACTGCAGATAATGAACCGGAACCGGAATCTCAGACTAAATCCGTGTCGAAAAAGAAGGCGCCCAAAGCACGATCGTCAGAATCTCCTCAATCGTCACCAGAACCCGAAGCAAAAGCACCCCCCAAACCGTTGCCCAATAGAGCCGCAAAACTCGAACGAGATATTTCTTCCTCTCCAGAGCCTCAAGTTCAAAAGGTTACCTCTTTACTAGATCGCACAAATGCGCAAATAGCGGAACTAAAGGCATCTATGAAGCGAAATGTTCAAACAGCAGCCGAGCCTGCGAAGAAGAAATCGGCTTTGGAAGCCATGATTCCAGCAACATCCGTTCGTGGACGAAAGCGCAACGCAAATGGAAAGTCAAATGCTAGTAACGATCAAGCAGCTCTAGATATCTTACGAGCATTTCGAGAGAAACTGGAAACTGCACCACCTGAAAAGGAAGTGGCTAAGCCTGTATCACATGACGAAGCTGAATCGAAATCCGAGGAAAATGGAACGGCTGATGATGAAGAAGCTGCACTGTGTGATTTACACTTTATTGCAAATTGTCAGTCTTGTAAATCATGGGAAGCGAAAGGGGAAGAAGAAGAGGACGAAGATTTTAATGACAAAGGGTGGATGTCTCATGCGTTAAGTTTCAAAGAGGATAAATTAGGCAAGGATCTCAGTTATAGGAAGAAAGCCGAAGAAGAATTGGTGGTTATTGATCCTAGAGAGAAAGCTAAATCGCTGAGGGAGGAAATGAAGGCGAAAAGAGAGGCGAAAGCCGGAGGTTCAACTGGTAGGGAATGGGATATGAAGAGGAACGAGAAATTAGCGAGAGGGTCGGCTTTGGCCGGGAGAGGAGCTAAGTAGGAAATCTTTATGGTAATGGTGATGGGAGGAAATGTGATGAATGGTTCACATGACGGAATGGTTTCAAATGACATAAAGAGGGAAGATCTCTCTGGTCATGATTCTGGAAGCTAAATCGATGCTTTAGTAATTTCTTCCAAAGTGATGCAGACGATGCGACAGTGAACAATGAAGATGAGGAGATGGGCGACTTGTCGAAAGAAGAAGAATCCAGAAGGTAAAGGAACGAGAGAATGGAAGAGACCTGGATCTCTTGGTAGTCCGTGGACCACTCTTGTGGTGACGGTCTACAAGGATAGCAATGAATGGAAGTTCTCAAATTAAATCAATTATTTGGATCAGTATTTCAGATTTCAAAGAAAGGTTTCGAGCGTAGCGAGCTTGGGGGTTTGGGGGCTTACCCCCGATTTATAGGGATTTAGGTAGATAGGTAGAAAGGAGAAGGTTAGGTAGAAATGAAGATGAAATTTCTAAATTTTTTGTGTGATAGGAGAGATGAATGTGGCTTTTTTGAAGATATAGTTTTTTGGGATAAATTTCTTTGAATGAGTTTCAGGTGTTCAATGTGTAATGTGGCTGGCGATTAGGTATGTATAATAAGAAGATAGGATGGCATAGGTAGAGGTACCGATAGTATGATACTGGGATGTTCTTGAGTGTGAGTTTGTTTGTGATGTGATGTGGATGAGATGGTTTTGGATTGGATTAAGAACTCCAGACTCCTTGTGATGTGTGTGTGTGTGAGTGTGTGTATTAGAGGAGGGGGAGGAGGGAAAAGAGAGGGAGAGATGAATTAGTATTTAACGTTTTGATTGATCTCTTCTGACGCAGTGAAGATATACTTTTGAAAGGTAGATGATGGGTGGTTCGGGTGGATAGATATTATCTATGTTGATTTTAATGTGAATGTGAATGTTAATGTTAATGTTGATATATCTCGACTCTCTCTCTGTGATGTAAAGGAAGATAGATATACTTTTGGAGGAAGATATCTGGATGAATAGCTTCGGGGTAGATAGATAGATGGACTAACTACTACCGGACGAGCCAGGGCCAGGGCCAGGGCCAGGTCAGGCTACCTCTGCTTTGCGACCGACGGAGAATTCCGAATGCTAAACTGAACCAAAATTTGCAGGATTAGACGAAGATTTGAGAAATGGTTACTGGGTATGTAGGGAGGTAGGTAGGTAGGTGTGTTTAGAATGGGGATGGGGATTGGAGTGTGTGTTTTTTGGAGTTTAGGTTCTTTTGGATTTTGGGTTGTGATAGGAGACTTTGGTTGGGAGATTGGAGGTTGGAATGGAGTTTGGAGTTTGGAGTTTGGAGAGGGTTCATGGGGTTGATATTGGATTTTGATCGAGGTGATCACTGATGAGTAGAGTTTTGATTGAGGTGTGGATTCTTTGGTGTTGGGGTTGGTTGTCAGCTGGGTGGGTATCTATCTGCTAGTGCCAGGTATGTATTTACGATAGTAACCATACCTCCCAATTAGTTCTTCTTCCCGTTCCCCACCCGACCCACTGAGCTAGTAATAAACATTATCTAATTCAAAAGATGAAAAGTCGATGATTTTCTGTGATGCACTAGCGATTTATCGATCAGAGGATTGAAAGGTCCGCTTGCTCCGCTGGCTGATAAGATTGTAAAGATTTAAGGTTGATGGATCATGAGAGGAGTGAAGAGAAACAAGATAGATGGGATGGATCATGGTTGGTTGGAAGAGTTGTCAGCCTTGTTATTAGTCAGCATTGTC